GTAAATAATTATGCTAAATCTTTCTTAATATAAACATAAGCAACATACTATTCAATTTTTATTCTAATAGTCAATCAATAATGATTTAATGCTTGAGAAATAAATTCACCAAGCATTATCAAGGTGACTTGTTTTAATGGCATAATCCGAGAATTATACTTGAAATCAAATTATTTGTTAGCAATCTCGAAAACATCAAGTTTCAAATATTAATAAGCATATATGTGATCATCTTGTTGATGCATTTATTAAAATCATCAAATATCTAAATGATCCATATGATGGATGAATTGATCTATATATATGATCACCTTGAATACATTCTAAAAATACCGAGGATTTAATTTCAATTTTATTTAGTGATGGCTTAATCATCAATTTATCTTGAAAACATGCAGAACATGAAAAATCATTAAGTTGAAGAATCTTCCGGCTCTTCAATAGATGTCCATATGAATTTTCAATAATTTTTCACATCATGAAAGACCTAGGATAACACAACTCGGTCATGCCACATAATAAAAATATTTGAATTAGTAAACTTTTGGTTTACTATAGCATTTGTCTCAATTATTCCAATATTTATGATAAAGAAAGACTAAAAGAGAAAGTTGATAAATTTTTCAATATATATTTTCTACCCGGTATAATGATTATAATATATAAGTATTCATATTTTCTATCTTGATATGATATCAATTTAGATGAATATTTTTGAAACTCAACAAATTTCTATGAGACTTTGAAGAGAATAGTATATTATTTATAATAAAATTTATCCTTTTAAATAATAACATATTTATTCTTTCGGAGTCTTTAAATTATATCACTTCAAGTAATAATATATCTATTCTTCTAGAGCATTTAAAAATTGTCTCTTCAAGTAATAATATATTCACTTTTCTAGAGTTTCAAAAATTAATCTCTTCGAGTCATAATATAATTGCTCTTCCGGAGTTTTTTTGTTAAATTGATATTATCGGATATAATATTAACACAAATTAAATAAATAAATAATAAATAAATATAGTAAAATAAATTTATCAATATCTCTATGCAATCAAAATTATAAAAAAATATAAAACATCTTATTTATAAATAGGAAAGCTAACAAGTTATTAATTTCAATTACCTTCATTTTGATATATAAAATTGACCTTTATATTTAACTCTTTTCTTTTTCAAGTGAGGCTTGATAAGGCTCAATGAGGTGTTTTGATGTATGATCGGTATGCAACTAATGTTCATTTATGTCACATTTATAGCATTCATTTTTCGGAATACTAACTTATATATTTTTATTCTTTTATCTTTTTTTCATAATTATTCACTTCGATGGTGAGATGTAATGTTATGGTTATCACGATTATAATAATAATTATTTTGACCACGTCCATGACTATGATCATATCTTTGTCAATGTCTAAAATTATTATAAATTATCACATTCACTTCGTGGAATAGAGTAGATCTAATTGGACGAGATTTATTCTTTTTCATCAATAGCTTATCATTTTATTTAGGCACGAGCAAATATAAAATCAATTCGGAATATTTCTTAAACTCATTTTCTCGATATCCTACTGCAGGAGTATATTCAAGACATGAAAAGTAGAATATTTACTTAGCATCAAACACTTATGATCAATTATTCTTGCCTAAAAATGTCAAGGGCCAAAAAATAAAGTTTTGTGAGTTTGATATCATAAAAATTTTATAATGCAACGTATAATAATAATATTATGAAATAAAAAAATATAAAGATAAAATTTAAATAAAAACAAACATAATAAAAAAATTTAAATTTTTCAAACAATATATATTAGATTATTAGATTCTATTTATTAAATCCTTTAAGTTTTTAAAATATATATTCTATGTATCATTAGATTTAAAGTACATAATAAATTAGATACATACCTCTTAATGATCTAAATAATTTAGAGATTTTGGAAGAACGCTTGTGTAGAAAAAATCAAATGATGGAAACAAATGATTAAGTCTTTTGGTAGATACATATCTCATAATCTATTATCTCAATTGGTTAGAGCTTCGTGCCGATAATGCGTTATGAAAAAAATAGTAACATAGTATAATTGAAGAGAAAGATGATAGAAAAATGAATTCACTATAAGATAAATTGAATACAAGAGATAACAACTCGAAATAATCTCTCAATCTCTACAAAATGCTTGTGCATAAATTAATGAACAATCAAGCCCATTTATAGGCTTTAAGATTAGTAAGAGAATTTGAAAGGATTATGCACCATTAAAGATGCATAAATAATTGAATAAATTGCATCACTCTTTCAATTTCTCATATTGAATGGTGAATTGAATTATATAAATAGTGAGAATATGAAATGAACATTCATTATTTTATGACACTTGATTGACTTCCCTTGTAGTTTTTACTTTGGTCTACATTGATTTGTAAAAAAAAAAAAAAAAAAAAAAAAAAAAAATAGTATGTACATACAATTTCTTTGAAAGAATACAAAAATTAAATGAAAATATTTAGATCAATATTATAGTTTAAATAATGAAGAAAAAAATCTTAAAAATCAAACATAATAAAAAGAATAAAGTTTTGAACTTATAACCAATATGCAAATCAAGTTATAAATATTCGATGATAAACTAAGAAAAATCATCTAATAAAGTACCTCAACTTCATAATACTAATAATGATTTAATGAAAGAATTAAAAATAATATTTTAAAGAAAGGAGAATATGTTAGGAAATGATTAAGCAAAAAATAAAACAGAAAGATAATAATAATCATACGATACAAAATTTATGTAGTTTGATAATATGCTCACTCGCATGACCGCACTAAAAGTTCTTATTAATTTTTTTTAGTCAGCTATAAATATAAGAAATAATGTCAATATTTAGAACGTAGACAATTAGGATTATAATAAAAAAGACTTTACGAGCTTATACACCACACTTAATATTTCATAGACCTTACTAGTGATATTGTCGTATTGGTTATAGGTAACACATTAAACTACGGACAACATCTACATCACTTTTTACAACTTAACATAACTGAACCACAAGAGGGATCTTATATTAAAACTCTTTAAGGATTTTTTTATAGGAATTTGTAGTGGTTATATTCAATTGGTGAAAGTTTATTGTCTCCTACATCTCTGTATTGATGCATGGTGTGGTGGGGTAATTTTTAATACCAATATTATTCGATATCAAGACTAACTTGATAATGACAATCATTTTATTTCATAAAGCGATAATAAATTTTTTTTTTTTAAAAAATAACTTAAAAATATCTATTGATAAAGTCATGAGTGGCATCGAGAAGATTTAAGTTGGATCTTATGTGATTCACTACAAAATTTCTATTTTTTATTCATGATTAAATAGATAGATTGTAATTAATAATAACGTAATTATCTATTTTTTTTGTTTTGATTTCTTCTTTTAGATTTGCATTTATGTCTTTTTAGAACAATTTTATTGTTCTGCCGATTCGTATTCTTTAGCTTTATTTTGTTTCATTCTCAACTAAACATTTAGCTTTTGTCGTGTTTTATTAATTACGTGATTGTCACTCTTTCTTCCTCTCAAGTCATCTTCTCGACAATTTCCTAACTTTTACTCAGATCCTATATTTAATAAAATATAAATCATATTACTAATAAAAACAGAATACAATTGTCCATTTTAAAATATTAATTGATCATGCATATCATAAGCAACAAGATAGTTGGCGCCCGGCATTACCAAAAATAATAATAATAATAATAATAATAATAATAATAATAATTTTCTAGCATTTAAAGAACGTTGTTATCTTCGTCCTCTTATAATAAGTAGCTAAAATTTATGAAAATTACTTAATAATTAAAAAAAAAAGGATAATTCTATTGTATAAAAACATTGTTTTAGGAAAAATCTTTGGCCACCATATCATCAAATGATGCTATCTCTATACATACAAGCCCTGAAAAATATATTATGATCATCATAACTTCCTAAATTAGACTCATCGATCTTTGGATGAGCGAATCTCATTTCAAGCTTATTGATGAATCCAATCATATAGAAATGACCCAAAAAAAAAAAAAAAAAAATTCAAAACAATTATGCTACTATCCCATAATAGAAGATGTATAGAAAATGGGTTTGTTGTAAATAAAAATGAACTTCTTGACCATTTATCATGTCTCATTCTTGAAATTAACCCAACAACATGATTTTTTTTTTTTTTTGGGTTGATAATGATTCCAGGACACAGTAAATTATAAATTGATTTCTCTTGTTTTGAAAAACGAATTAGTTATTCTTTTTGTTTTCAAACTAATTATTTAGTTATTTATGTTTTAATTCTATCAATAATTTAGTTTTTTTTCATTAATTTAGTGATTTTCTTTTCAAATTTTTCTTCCTTTAATGTCTTATTTCTCTCATTCTTCCAATTTCTTTCTCTCCTCAACTAAAAATTAAAAAGGAATAATTTGAAAATAAAAATTATTAATCTAACAGAAAACTATTGAAATGACTTAGATATTATGGAATAAAAGCATGAAAAATTAAATTATTAGTTTTTGAAAAAAAAAAGATTAATTAATTTATTTTTGTAAGCAAGAGGGACTAATTTATAATTTACTCTTCCAGAATTTGAAACATTATTCATAAACTAATATTGGATTTCTTAAAAAAAAAAAAAACTAATAATAATAAAAAAAATGCAAAGCTTGGACATTGACTTCTTTTTAGTTTAAAGAAGTCAGGAAATTATGGTTAAAAAAATCTGAATATTTTTAACTGATCCCATGGACTTCTCACAGACCCTGTCAAATTGGTGACCTGCAGCCGAAGGTTCGACGGCTGGACCTTCTTTTTTGGCTCCCTTCACATTTCTGCTCAAACTTTTCCTCTATAAAAAAAGTCCTTAATTTCTACTCTCTCTTCACTTCACTTCACTTCTAAGACTTTGCATGTACTATACAAATCCTGTTAGAAGGGTAATGGAGAAAGAGCAAGAGCAAGATTGTTGTGGCACACAACTGATAGATGGAAATGGAGTGCTCAATGAGGAAGGACTCGAGAACTTCACAAGAGCCACCAACCTGCGGGAATGTGGTCTCTCTTATGCTTGTGTTGCAATTATGGGTCCCCAAAGTAGTGGTACTTACATATATTCAAGATTAATATGATCATCATTTTTATTAATTTTTGGAGTTTGATTCAAGAACTTAATTTTCTATACATTTATATCTTCTTCTTCTTCTTCTTTTTAATTAGTGTAATAATGATCGTTTCATTTAGTTGTTTTGCTTGCTTGCATGCAAAATTTGTGAACTGGCTGCGTCAGATCAAGCTAGCCCACCTCGCATGGGAAAGTTATTACATGGTGACATCCCTTGGATCCGACTGTTGGGTTCAAGTTCAAAATTTCAAATAAATCATGGAATTCTGTATCTGTGTTCCAAAGCATATGAACAACTTTCTGACGTTCCTATCATGCCTCTTTCCTGGGAAAGTTCATTTTTTTGTTTTTTTTTCTCTACCATCTAACAATCAATTTGCAACCAACCTTTTTAAGGATGGTTTAGTAAATGGAATCATGGTACTGAGTCCCAAACTTTTAAGAATAGTTTTTTCTCTTGTAATGGAGGACATGGTGTCTGTGCATAGAAAATACCTTTTTGTTTTTTGTTGTTAAAGTTTTGATAAAATACTATGCCTTCCCATTTCTTTTTAAATTATGAACAGGGAAGAGCACCATAATGAATCATCTCTTTCAGACAGACTTCAAGGAGATGGACGCACGCAGGGGAAGGTTTGCTGTTAAAGTTTATAGAGTTTTAGTTTTAGAAGGACGAATCAGTTATTTGTTTCTTGCTACTTTAATTAAATTTCTCTCTGTTTTACATTTTTGTTCATCATGAATTTAAAGCAATCTAATTATATTTTAGAAATCAAACAACCAAGGGCATTTGGATTGCAAAGTGTAAAGGTATTGAGCCTTTCACAATTGCCATGGACCTGGAGGGAACCGACAGCAGGGAAAGAGGCGAGGTACTGAGCACTGTACCAGTATTATTTTAGTCTTGCTTTGCCGATGACACTGTTCAAAAATTTTACAATGTTTGTTAAACTATGAGGTTGACAAATGCTGCATAGTACTTAAGCAAGTTTTGTGATACTTGTAGATGGCCAGATGAACTTGATAATAATTCTGATTAGTTTGTGTATCTAACGTAGTCATACACTATAGGGATTTTGTGTTAGAAAATAATATAAATCATATCCTGGACTTCACCTAATAGCTTAAGCTTTTAGTTGAGATGGTCTTTTGACATGATATCAAAGCCTTAATGACCAAACGGTATTAATTAAGCACAAAGTAGTGTAGGCCTGTGCATGTTTCAAGCCCAAAGGGCTTTCACTTGAAGGGGTGTGTTAGAGAATAATATAAATCATATCCTGTCACTTCATCTAACAGTTTAAGCTTTTGGGTGAAATGGTTCTTTGATATATGATGCTTTTCAGGATGATACTGCGTTTGAGAACAAAGTGCCCTCTTTGCTTTAGCAGTTGCAGATATTATACTAATAAACATGTGAGTTCAGTTTGTATAGCATTTTAGCATTCTATTGTTTTGCTTTACCATCCTTTGCTTTTGTCCCGTACGGCACACTTCGCCTGATCATTGTGGTTAAAAAAGAGTGAAGCACCACTCAATTCTATGCTTGGTTTGTTGATAATGTCTAGTTTGATCAAGGAAACTACATAAAACAAATCTGCTATTGAAGGTGATAAGTTGGCCAGGTTAAGCTAAAGGTTGATGAGACATGGTGCCCACAAGTGCACTTCTACTTACAGGAATCACATCCTATTTTAACTTGATCTTGCATATTATATGCAGGTGGTGCCATGACATTGGTCGCGAGCATGCTGCCAACAAACCCCTTCTGAAAACAGTTTTCCGTGTACTGATCTGCCGCTTGTTTGCCTCTGGCAAAAATGTCATTGTCGGTTCATTATATGTGATAGTCCTTTTTCCTTTCTGTAGGTCATGATGCATTTATTCGGCCCCCGTAAAACTACACTGATGTTTGTTATACGTGATCAAACCAAGGTCTGTATTCATGCCGTTTAGATTCTTTTTAGATGACCAAAATTACTTCTGCGCAATACTGTCCTATGCTGAATATTTTCCCTCTTTGTGATTGTCCGTTCAGACTCCACTTGAGTGTTTGGAGCCCGTTCTAAGGGATGATATTGAGAAGGTATTTTGTGCATTTCCTTGTCTGCGTGTTTTTCTTTTCTGGGTAGCTATTTGTTTCCTGTAGCAATTTCTAAGGTTATGATTTCTTCAGATATGGGGCGAAGTAGCTAAACCTGAGGCTCATAAAAGTACTCCTCTCAGTGAATTTTTTGATGTATGTTGATATCCTCTCATTTTGATCTCTTTCACAAAGTTTTTTGGCATATATGTCTGTATTCTACTTCCTTTTTTTTTTCCTTTTTAATTGGGATATATTTGTTTCTTATCATTTACACAAAGGTGGAGGTTGCTGCTTTGTCTAGCTATGAAGAAAAGGAGGAGCAATTTAAAGAGCAGGTAACCTGTACGAGTGTGCGTATCTTATGAGAAGAATAATAGTTTATCCATCCTCAGAACTTATGTTTCTAATTTATATTGGTTTCAAAAGAATAGCGTTCTTTTAAAGTCCTGGCCAATGATATGTAGCTTGTTATGTTTGCTCAACTGATGGAAGTTCAACATCATTGGTAGAAAGGCGTCAAGGCCAAATCCATCAATCTGAAATTATGTTTTACTGATCATTCGAACTGCAATGTGGCGGATTGTGAGAAAAATGAGAAATTACTGGAGAAAACTGCTTTTTCAGTTGCATAGAATTGAAGTTTGCTGTTGGTGGACTAATATGACGTCTTATACAGGTTGCTGAACTAAGGCCGCGGATTTCCGATTCTTTTTCGAAAGAAAGCCGCCTTGCTGGTGATAGGCAGAGAGACGTTCCTGCTTCGGCATTTCCTTTCAGTCTGCAGAATATATGGCAAATTGTAAAAGAGAACAAGGATCTGGATCTTCCCGCTCACAAGGTTTGTTAGAAGCCCTTTTCTTATGCGAAAAGAGATGGTTAAATTTTCGTAATAAATATAGTTTGCTGTTTGTTTACCAGGTGATGGTTGCCACTGTTCGGTGTGAAGAGATTGCCAACGAGAAGCTCAAACGGTTGACCTCTGATGAGGTAATTGTCGTCTTCCATTTCTCTGAAGAAGTACTCTGACAATCGTGAAATTATGGATGAGCGGTGCTAAGCTGATTTCTTACAGGATTGGTTGGCATGGGAAGAAGCTGTTAAAGCTGGTCCGGTATCAGGGTTTGGTGAAAAACTCAGTTCTATTTTGGAAACCCATCTTTCAGAGTAAGTGTAGACCTTGCTGTCAATTCTGCAGAATGCTGTGTTAACTTACGTACTGTTAATGTATTCAATGTTTTAAAGACAATCAAAAGCTTTTAAATCAGTTTATCAGGACATCCCAAACTTCCTCCAGTTTAGGAGCTTTTTCTTGCAGCAGGGTCTTGAACTGCACTGCTTATTTAGCTTTATTTGGAATCTCTGATATTCCTCACGGAATCTACATTTCTTTTTCGACAGATATGACAAGGAGTCGATCTATTTTGATGATGGTGTAAGAAATGCAAAAAGGCAACAGTTGGAACTAAATGCATTAGATGTAAGACCTTAGTATGTGTGCATTTCCATTTAGTTTTATTGTTCCTTTTAGATAGCTGAAGTGAAGTAAACTTCCTATCCTGGCGCTGGATAAATGGTTCTAGTGATATAATCTTGGATTTTATTTTATTAATATGTGTTCTTATTTTGATTTCTTAAAACTGTTTCAAAATCACCAAAGATTAAGTTTGTTTATAACGTAGGTGGTACGCCATGCTTATGCCACCATGTTGAGCCATTTACGTTCTAAGGCACTCAGAAGTTTTAAGATTAGGCTGAAAAGGTCACTGAGCGAAGGAGGAGGGTTTGCTGAATCTGTTCGTATTTGTAAACAGTCTTGCATCTCTGATTTTGATCAAGGATGTGAAGGTAACATACTGCTTTTGAAGGTTCACACACATTATTGGCCAGTAATTACTTACCGTGTTTTTGCTTATTATCTGTTCTCTCTGCATTTAAATTAACAACTTTTCCTGGTATATCATTTGGTACTGTTTAAGATGCATTTATAGCATGCTTTCGATTGGGTACGAAACCATCGACTTTGCTAAATCGGCTTCAAATTCGATAACTGTTGGCATAAAAGCAGAATTATGTGCACAGGTTGTTCGAATTATGACTGCAATGATAGGTGAATGGATACTTCACTAAAAGGAATTGATAAAAGTTGATCTAATGGTAAAGCACAGCTAGAACAACTTATGGTCAAGCTGATGCTACTAGAACTAATCCTTCAATGATGTTCAAACTGTGTGCATATTATTGGTAAAGATCTGTTATGCTTGCTTATTCAGTTGCTTGTATATCCTACTCTCCCAGATGCTGCGATAAGACAGGCTAATTCGGATGGTTCAGAAGTCCGGGAAAAACTTGTTTGTGATATCGAGACAATCGTTTCCTCAGTATCTAGAAGCAAGTTGTCAGAACTGATGGCCAAAACTAAGGCATATAATCTTCTGATACATTATTACAGTCGACGATTATACAGTGAAATGACTAAATCCTGATACGGTATTATTTGTATGCAGAAACAACTCACTGATGAGCTCAGTGGACCTGTAGAATCACTACTTGAAACTGCTGAAAAAGACACATGGGCTTCACTGAGAAAGCTTGTTAAGCTTAAGACTAAGAATGCTGTCTCAGAATTTTCAACTGCTGTTGCTAGTTTTGAGTTAGACGGATCTAAAATCGACAGAATGGTGCAAACTTTGAGGACGGATGGAAGAAACGTAGTAGAGAAAAAGCAAGAGAAGAAGCAGGGAAAGTCCTGCTCCTGATGAAGGATAGGTGGAACACCTAACTGTTGTTTTCTTTCCCTTCTTTCAATTCGTCCTTTCTTTTGGTTAATCTTTGGATCTATCTCAGGTTCACATGGGTTTTCAATCATGACAATGATGCAAGGCCAAGGGTTTGGACCGGCAAAGAAAACATTAGAACAATTACAAAGGATGCACTCTCTGAGGTAATCTAGCTAAGATTTTTAAAGGAATGCCCGCCTGCCAGACTATATATATACACCTAACTAGCATCTGAATATCTTGAAACTATTTCATTTCAGGCTGTGAAAATTCTATCAGTCATGGCAGCCATACGCCTAGACAAGAAGCCAGATAACATTGAGAAAGTTCTGTTTTCCTTGCTCATGGATGAAACTGTTCCATCGTCCAGAGATAGAAGCAATGAAGCTGCTAGAGATCCCCTTGCCTCAAGCACATGGGAAGAGGTAACATTGTTATGCCATATATATTTGCTTATAGATATCTGTCTATTTTCTAACCTGATTTCGTAAAATATCAAATATGAGGCAGATCTCTACAAACGATACACTGCTCACACCAGCCAAGTGCAAGTCATTGTGGGGGCAGTTCGAAGCAGAGACCAAGTATGTAGTGACCCAAGCTATTTCCTCCCAGGTACCTTATTATATAGTTTTGTTCCATTTTTATGGCATCCTTATTCAAAATGTAAAGCATTATTGCATGTAAAGCTTGGTACTGTTTCGTCAGGCTGCTGTCTTTCGGTGGAGTACCTGGGTTCCAGTGGCAGTTGACATTGCGCTGGAAGTAGCTGGAGTTGCAGGGGTGGTGTTCTTCGGAGTTAATATCAATAATTGAAGGCCAACGTTTTGCATGATTTATATTTGAGGTTCATAGCTCAATTTATTCTTCTATAATAACCTAATTTTTCAATCTATTTTTACATTTTTAATCGAGTTAATTTTATTTTTGAACATATGTTAAGTTTTTAATCTATCATTTCGTTAAATTTTTAAACCAAATCATCGAATTATTCGCATAATTTATACATGATTAATTTTTAAATAAAAAGTTTTCATGCACAAATTATGTAACTAATTCCAATAGTTTATCAAAAAAATCTTATCAGAATGATAATTTAAAAAATTAATATATATTTAAAGGTAAAATTAATTCAATTACAGATATAATGACATCTTATTATAAAAGGATATATTAAACTACAAACTTTTATATTTTTAATGTTCAAACTTTTATACTTTACTCTTTTTCTGTTTTTAACGTGGCCTCTCTAATGATTTTTCGACTAATTTTCCTAATAAACGTGGCAAGTGGCAAAAAATTTGATAAAAAAAAAAATTGACACATGTAACGTCATGTCAAATAAAATCGCAATGTGACAAAAAATGATAAAAAATAAAGAAATTACCTAAACTACCCTCGACCATCTCTTAAATTTTCTTACAGAATAAGATAAAATATGTTATGAATCTACCGCATCACCACCCTCTGCAACAGGCAAGGAGATAATGAACATAATAATAATAAAATCATAAGCTCACCAGAGATCTCTTGAGGAAGATGACAAGGACAAACCTTCTCCTCTAGTGGGGCAGAAACTTTGTCAAGTGTGGATCTAAAGGCCTGGTGGACTGAGCCAGCGAGAAACTGGTGTAGTTTTCTATAACCACTGTCCCCTTTTTAATTTGCAGCTGCTCATCATAAAAACATTCATAAGAAAACCTTCTGCTGCCAGCCTCTTTAACTCTTTCAGGTTGCTTATAACTTCAGCAAGCAATGATGCCTTGTCCCTCTGAGAGTTCAGATTGATTAGTAATTCAGCAACCCAACTCAACGAGCCCATAAGCTGAAATCTTGACAGGATCATAACAATCCAACTCTTGCTAAACCAAATAACTCCATGTAAATATTAGGATTTATTAATCAAGTAATCCATAGATAACATTTATGATCAATTTCAATGAAGAAGAAGTAATGAGAACAATTACCAGAAAATTATAACAGGTTAAGGTTTTCTAAATAGTTTTTAAAAATTAATTGACGTATTTAATATTAGTTAGAATTTTTTTTAAAAAAAATGATTTGATGGCAACAAAATAATTTTAAAACTCTTCTTTGCAATTGTACAAAGATTATATATATATATATATAAAACATGTACAAGTAATGAAGTACATGTGAGATAAAATACTTTATTATGCCAAAAAATAATAATAATTAAAACTACCATATTTTGAGAATAAAGATTTTAAACTACCTTATTTTAAGAAAATACTCTTATCTAACATGGCACATGTTAAATTTTTTGCCACCTGTTTCATTTGCTTCGAAAATTGGCCGAAAAACTATTGAAAGAGTCTTATTAAAAAAATTTAAGAAATAAAAGGGTTGTAATAGAAAAGATAGAAATAGAGAGGTCACATTAAGAAAATATTAAGAATAGATGCACGAATTACAAGTTTGTAATAACATATGAAGCTCTATCTCAAAAAAGAAAAAAAATATCTATATGGTTTGATAATAATTTACCTCAAAACTATAGAGAATATGATAAAATAAGATTTATACTATCAATTTGGACTCTTTAGATTTTAAACTATTAATTTTTAGATAAATTTTACGTCTGAATTTTATAGTGTTGACTATTTATTGAAATGCTTAAATCGACGTCATTTTAAACATTTTATTTTTTTAAATTAAAATTAATTTTGAGAAAAAAATTAATAATAGTTAGCTTTAAGAAATGTTAAATGATTTTATTGTTTATGGATATGATTGTTGTTGTTGGATAATTAATAATATGTAATGGATGTATCTAGTAACAAAAAAAAAAAAATGAAATACTTAAACCAACATGATTTTAAGTATTTTAGTTAATGGTCAATATTTTTTTTACCATAAGACATAACGAAAAAGATTAAATTTGCTTAATAATAATTTAAGGTCTACATAGCCTAAATGAGTAATATAGATCTTATTTTAGTACAACCCTAATAGTTTGGGGATAGATTATACCATTAAATCCATCTATATTATAACACCCAAAAAATAACCAGATGGGTTGATAACTCTTAGTTCTCCTTTTTGTGGCTGCCGCACCTTTCATCCCACCGTAACGTATGTATATTTGTCGAGAATTTTCTTGAGTTGTAAATGGAGTGAAGAATCTTTCAAATATAGATGTGGCTGGGTCTCTTACGTCCACATAACAAGATATCACATGGACAAACCTACCTTAAGACTATAAAATCCAACATCCCTCGTAAACGCGTGGAATGCATGATGCTTCGAAAGTTCAAAGAAAATGAACTATCATGGCTCATAGCTCAAAGAAATAGGCATTCTTGACTTCTGATGAACCCTGACAAATTGGTAAGTCGTCTTTGCAAGTTCAAAGAAAAGAAAGAAATATCATGGTTCATAGTTCAAAGAGAGAATTAGACATTCTAGACTTGTGATTACCCTGATCGATTGTTTCTACTAAAAAATCTTCACTTCTAGGACCTTTCTTCTCTGGAAAAACACAACCTGCAAACCATCAAAAGTTTGTTAAGTTGGAAGACCAGTAACAATGGAGCGAGGAGGTTGCTGCAAGATTCAACTGATTGATCAAGACAGGGAGTTCAATGAGAGAGGACTCGCAAACTTCATGAGGACCACCTATTTCTTGAACTCTGGCTTCTCTTATTCTATTGTTGCAATTTTGGGACCTCAAGGTAGCGGTAAGTGTTCTGGATTTGACCCTGCTATTTTTGTTGTTTTCTTTAGTTTTTTGAGGAAATTGAGGTTTGAGATGAGAGTCTCCTAATTAACGTAGTGAACAGAACTTATAGCAGGGTTTGGGATATCATTTAAGTCGAGGAATGTCTAAGATCTCTCTTTAAATTCGGTTCAGTCATGTACATCTGGAACGAACAAGGACTGGTTAATTAAGTACATGGCATGTGTATGGTTTTAATTAATTTGCGCTCTTTATGAACAGGCAAGAGCACCCTAATGAATCATCTCTTTGGTACCAATTTCGTGGAGATGGATGCATACCAAGGAAGGTTTGGTATTTTCAGTTTTGAGTATTATTTGGTGTCTCCATCTTCGGCGTTTGTTCATCATGAAATGGGAAGCCAATCTAATCACTATATTTTTCAGGTCTCAAACAACCAAGGGAATTTGGATTGCTAAGTCTCGTAGTGATATTGGGACTTTCACAATTGCCATGGATTTGGAGGGAAGCGACAGCAGGGAAAGGGGCGAGGTAATTTTATAGCTCTGTACTAAAACTGCTGTTTTAATTTTGCCCTCTTTGATCATCATCATGTTTTTTAGGATGACACTGCATTTGAGAAACAAAGTGCCCTCTTTGCCTTGGCTACTGCTGATATCGTTCTAATAAACATGTGAGTTTTGCAGCATTTTAGTATTCCGATGCCTTTTAGTTTGCCTAATACTTTGTCCCATCAATCGTACTGGTAAAAAATAAGTGTGAAACACCAGAAGAACTAACAATGCACTGAATTTCTTGGATATTGACAGACCATTTCTGAATAGGAATCAGTTCGTATTTTAACTACATGTTGCATGTTATATAGGTGGTTCCATGACATTGGTCGGGAGAAGGCTGCCAACTATCCACTTCTAAAGACAGTTTTCCAGGTACTCTTTACACTTTCTACCATGTGCTTTCTTCAGTGTCTTTAAAGGTGCTAAGAAGAAATTATAATGGTATTGAAAAATCCAGTTCAATGATAAGAGCATGGCCTGATTTTGAATACATCTTCGGATATAAAACTGCTTCTGGCCGGGAAAAAGTGTTGCCTGTTTAGGAAAAAGGCATCAAATTAATTAACATCAATACCTTTGGGATTCATCCAGAAGCACTTGAGAGAGCGCCCTGCTATTAATTGCCTATGGATAACTTTCATTGTGAGTTTATTATTGGGTGATTCTCCATTTTTTGTGTTGTAACAGGTCATGATGCGTCTATTCAGCCCCCGCAAACAAACGTTGTTTTTCGTTATACGCGATCCAAGTGCAAAGGTCTAAATTTATGCTCTTAAGATTCTTTAAAATTGCCGAAGTACTGCTGATGCGATCCATTCTTTCTGTCCTATGTATGCTGAACCTGTATGTGACTGTCTATGCAGACTCCATCCAGCCGCGTGGTGGAGGATCTAAGGAAAGATATTCTGAAGGTATTTTTATGAATTAATTTTTCTGGTTTTTCCAATTTCTCTTCTGCTCAATTATTTGTTTGTCTTACCATCTTCGAAGGTCATTATCCCATTATTATTTCTGCAGATATGGGATGGAATTGCCAAACCTGAGCCTCATGAAAGTGCTCCTATTGGTAAATTTTTTGAGGTATGTAGACATCCTGTAATTTTCGTCCCTCTTACTAATGTTTTTGGCATATATGTTGGCCTAAACTTTAATCTTTTACTTTCTGATCATCGACATACAGTTGGAATTTTTTTGTTTGCCTAGCTATGAAGAAAAGGAGGAGCAGTTTAAAGAGAAGGTAACCTGTAACTTTTACAGAAAGAATAGCAGTTCTTGTTTTCAAGCTGACATGCAGTCCATGGCTAATTCATTGAGTAAAATTACTGGAGAAAACAACTGTTGAATTAAATCGAATTGAAGTTTGCAATTGGTAGGCTAATGCGATGTCTAATACGTACAGGTTGCCGTATTAAAACAGCGGATTTCAGGCCTTGTTGGTGATAAGCGGGAAGTTAATATCCCTGCTTCAGATTTTTCTCTCAGTGTGCAGAAGGATATCCATGCTTCAGATTTTTCTCTCAGTGTGCAGAAGAAATGGAAAGATATAAAAGAGAACAAGGATCTAGATCTTCCTGCTCACACGGTTTATTTAATCCCCCTATTTTTTTATGTGAACATAAATTGTTAGGTTTTCGCAAGTACATGTTTTGCTGGTTTGTTTACCAGGTTATGGTCGCCAATTTTCGGTGCGAACAGATTGCTAATGAGAAGCTCAAACGCCTGGCCTCTGATAAGGTACTTCGTTGCATCTTTTTTCTGGGGTTTTCTTAAAGGTTACAAAGACAATTGAAAGTTGAAACTTAGTAACAGGCAGTACTGAGTTGATTTCTGACAGTTTTGGTTGGCTTTGAAAGAAGATGTTCAACGTGGTCCGGTACCAGGGTTAGGAGAAAAACTCAATGATATTGTGAGAACCTATATTTCAGAGTGAGTGTAGATCTTCCTGTCAATTCTAAATAATCATGAGCCATTTTACTATCTATCTATCCATCATTGTTTAACAGAGAATGAAATAGTTTTTAAATCCAATTTATCAATAAATTCTAAGTGTAGTAGCTTTTTCAACAGCAGAGTTTTAAATTCTTTTGGAATCTCAGATTTTGCTTATAGACTCTCTACATTTTTTCTCCCAACAGATATGAGAAGGAGACTGTCCACTATGATGGACGTGTAAGAGCTGCAAAACGGCAGCAGTTGAAATCTAAAGCATTCAATGTAAGCCTTTAGTTTGTGTGCGTTTCCTTTTTGCTTTTTTTATTGCTTTACTTTCCTTTCCTCGTTAATCAGCTGAAGTAAAAACAAACAAAAATGAAGTTTTAATATACTTTTCTTGTATTAATTTGCTTAAAATTTGTGTTGAAATACCAAACATGAATTGAGTTTCTGCCTTTTACGTAGGTGGTTCATGTTGCCTATGCTACAAACTTGGGACATTTACGTACCAAGATACTGGATAGGTTCAAGACTACGCTGATAGACTCGCTGAACAAAGGAAAAGGATTTGCTGAATCTGTTAGTACTTGTGAGGAGGATTGCATGCGCGAGTTTGACAGGGAATATAAAGGTAATGGCCATTGTAACTAGGCATTTAAATATAAGATAAACAACAGGAAAAAAGTGATCAAATGGGTCAATTAGTAAAGGATAATTCACTTATTTAATCTGTTGCTGCTAGAACTCATCGTAATTTCATTGATGTTCAACTGCATGAATATTCTTGGTATGTATGTCATGGTTTCAAATTGCCGATGCGGTTATAACTACGATCGCTATTGTGATTATAGGTCACGATTAATGACGTTAGTAAAATAACGATTACAAAAATCGATGCCATGATTGCATTAGCAAGCTAGCAATTGTTAATAAATTTATTTTGATTCACATATTTTTAATAGTTTTATTAATTAAGCATAATAAGAATTTCTCTAATAGTTTAATATCATACAATAATAGTTGAATTTCTTACGGAAAAAAGTTAACAACACTTCTAGTAGTTTAATATAATCGCAAATAATAATAGAATACAAAGAATCAATTTTTTTTAATAATATAATATCCGTTATTCATCAAACAATGACGTCATATAAAGGTAATAGCATATAACGCTGTTATTTACGTGAAATGCTATTATGCTTCTTATAACTACAATGAATATATCTGAATTCATTAGATAACAATCATTATGTTATATAACGATCATTATGTTATATAACGACTGTTATTAATCTAAAACTATGGTAAAAATAATTTGTTGTCTACTTAATTAGGTTTTGTTTAGGCCTATTGTGCTTATAAGCTTACAAGAGAAGCATGTAGTATGCACTTTTTATAATGGGCTAAAAATGAAGTTTTACTTATAAGCACCGTAGGTCCAAAAATACATACATTTACTCAGATTGGTGAATGACCTTTGATATTAATTCTGCTCTCTCAGATGCTGCCATAAGAGAGGCTAACTGGGATACTTCAAAAATCGAGGAAAAACTTCGTAGTGATGTCAAGGCACATACTTTATCAGTACTAACTACCAAGTTGTCGGAACTGGAAGCCAATTTTAAGGTAATTTCCTTGTACCTTATTAATATGTCCGTCTGTTGCTTTTCTATGTACTTTTACTAGATATTTTAGAACACGTACGCCTTCTATTTGCATGATTCACATCATTTTAATTTTCAGGAATTAATAAGTCAGTAATTTAGTACACATCAATTGTTAATAAAACTTATTGATCTTGTGGATATACAAATTAATAACTGAAATCACAATAATATATACATTAATTTTGAACTCTTTAGTGATATATATATATATGGATTGACGTTAAAGTAGAACAAAAAATGTGCACGAATAGATTAACTCTTTGGAGTACGTATCATTTATTTTTCTAATCTAATCTCTTTGTACCTCTTTTTTGAATGCTTTTAAAAAGTAGAAAAGCAGAGGCCAACCAAGATCTTAATTAATTTGTTTAGAACTAGAAGGCAATCTTCTGTTAATCAATTAATTAACAGCTTGGTTATAGTTAAATAAAATTTGAAAACAAGATCATTCCTAACATTCTAAATAATCCACAAGGCTACATAAGAATTATTTCCCAAAAAAAAAAAAAAATCAAATTTATTACAAGAATACCATGAGGGATGGGATCACAAGAATTCAATGACTGAATTACCCTTTCAATTGATAGATCAATCAAGCATTAAATTATATAAGTAAAACTAATTAAAACAAAATTCATTATAGCAAATGTCAAATTTGTTGTTTTTTTGTTAATTATTTTTTAATCTACAATAAGAGTATTTTTGAGCTAATGAAGCTCATTAGTACTTTTATGTCTTTTAATTACAACAATTACGTGCATGACAAAATTTTTCTGATTATCTATTTCTTGATCTTGCCACAGATTATACAAAATAAAATAGATTATACATAACAAAATTGTGTTTTTTTTTTCCTTGGAAATTTCAAAGAAAAATCGACCAAAAAGCTTCTAGTTGAGGTTAGGGTTTGTTAGCCCAAACACAGCTTCGAAATCTGACTGAATTTGGGATTTTGGCTTCAACATTTTCAACTAATGGGGATTTTTTTTTTATTATTAATATATATATTTTGACGTTGTTGTTCTGTTTTAAGAAATTTATTCCTTTGTCAATTTGGTTAAATGTTACACCTTTAAAATCAACTAATATTCTCTCTTTATCAATAGTTTCCATCAACTATTTTATGTCCATTAAAAAAAAGAACTATTTTATGTTCCCATTAAAGTTTCTCTGCTCCTAAACCCATACAATAAGCCAAGAATTAATCTTGGCAAAAATATAGTACTTGGTATTTTATGTGCCAAGTTTCTCATTTTGCGGAATCTATCCAACAATCTTACACCTTACGCTTGTTGTTTCTTTAGTCGACTAACGTGAACCACTCGAACGAAGCGACGGTGGCGGTGGCAACGATAGGGCTGGTGACCGCAGCGGTGTCAACAACGGTAGCCGTGACTATGCCACATGTGGCTGTAGGAGTGGGGTTAGCAATGGGGGCTGTGAAGGTCATAACAGCCATAGCATCTTTATATTTTGTTAGAAAGAGGGCAGGCAACGCAGGAAATTAATGGCGATTTTGTATGTGCGTAAGCAACCCCATATAACAGCCTCTACACAAATTATAATAATGCACAAAATTTCTGTATCCATACTTCATTATAATTTCTATTATAAATCTCAGCTGACAGATTCAGAAAACTTGAGAATAATTTCATTTTGTATTTTGTTGTGTTTTTACACATCTAAAATACCCTTCAAGTGCATTAATTTGTTTCACAAATATATTTTTGAAAAAATTAATACAATTGATTAATATCTGAAAATATAACAATTAATACGCAATTGATCGATTCATAGAAATTTTGATGTCTTCTCTGCAAAATTCTTTTGAATGTACAGGTGGCTTCTGATCAAGGAGATTACAGGCCTCAAATCCCCCCTGGCTTGGAGTGGCTGTGAACACGGTGTCCTTGGCGACAACGATAGTTGGACTTATACAGCAGTTAACGAATTCATTCAGTACATGAAGACCCACAGATAGAACGGTCTATATATATTTGCATGCCCTTAAAATATTTGTGGACCCTAATTAATTATTAGATTTTAGCAATTTAAACTTTTGCACTATTTATATTATCAATTCCATATGAAAAAAAAAAAAAAGTGTCAAAACTCTTGAATGTTTTTTCACCACTACTAAATTCTGAATTTTCTGCTTGAGTTAAAGACCATAAAAAGTTTGGTCAATTCCATTTTTATTATTTTGGCAAATGAAATTCGCTTGTTGTTGATCAGGACATAAATGATGTCGTCAATTTTTTTTATTTTTGACTAATTGGTTATAAAATATTCTGAGTAAAAAAGTTTTTTGAATATATATATATATATATATATTTCTCTAACTTGTTTTTGTTTGTTTCGCGATTAAATTCTTCTATTCTCGTGACAAATTTTTAGTGATACGAGTCATTGAAACAACACGTCCTAAAAGTTCTAAACAAATAATGTGTCGTTGTTTTATAATTTTATATGTATCTCACGCGCTTTTAATATACTTTGAAATTAGTCAATAAAAAAAACCTTAATTACAGTTAAAAAAAAAAACAAAAAATTAAGGATCCATGTTAGAGATTAGTATAAATTATATTCTAGGATCTCACCTATCGACTTAAACTTTTAGGTAAGCATGGTCCCTTAATATGGTATCGTAGCTTGGTTGACTTTGAGTGCTTGAGTTCAAGTCTTACCATTCTCAATTTCTCAAATATTAAGCACAAGACAATGTAGATCTCATGCAAGTTTCATGCCTCAAAAATATGATAGTCCGTAACAAGTTTAAAATTGGATTCTATGATCAACACCAATATGGGTGAATTTGAACAAATATTTTGTATATAAGCTCATTTGGTGAATTGATACAAATACAAGGACTAAAATGGAGTATTTTCCGACGTCATGCGTATAAACAGCAGTGAGAAATTCATTTGGTGAAAAGCTCACTCTCTCTTCCATCTCTCAATTCGTACGACGCCACACCATCTTCCCCTCCCTAATGACCAACTATTGTCATTTCAGTTTCTCACATTTGTCTCTGCCCCTTAATGGGTTTGGTTGTTATACTCTGTCTTTTCCTTTTTTTTTTTTTTTTTTTTTTGGGTTCTTGCTACCCCTCCATAGTTGGCTTGGAGTAAATCATGAAATTCTATTGGTAAGTCTGTACCATTCTTGGTTTTTTGATAAATGTTTATAATTTGATCTGCGTTCTTCTTCTCTGCTAACAGGGAAGAGCACCCTGTTGAATCATCTCTTTGGTACCAAATTTGTGGAGATGGATGCAGGCAAAGGAAGGTTAGCAAACATGTGTTTTTAGCTTTTTTCTCTTCTTTTCTGGAGTCCTGTAGCTATGCGCATCTCCCTTTTTTTTTTTTTTTTTTATGTTCTTGATAGTACATGCAATTTAATTATATTTTAGGAGTCAAACGACCAAGGGCATTTGGATTGCGGAGTGTAGTGGTATGGAGACTTTTACTATTGCCATGGATTTGGAGGGAACTGACAGCCGGGAAAGAGGCGAGGTACCGAGCATTGCATTAATACTATATAATAACGTGGTCACTGAAAATCTTGATTAAGCTAGTATGCTAATTAGGAAGGTTTTATGTTGTGACATTTCTAATATTAATTTTTGTATATTGAGGGAGGCTGAACATTGCGATAATTGTAGAAGGTTATATGAGCTTAATACAATTTCTCAGTTTCCGAATCTATTGGAGTGCATTGGGGAGATTTTGATGCTATTGATCAACTGCTGGAATATTTGATGTTTTGCAGGATGACGCTGCATTCGAGAAACAAAGTGCCCTCCTTGCTTTGGCAACTGCTAACATTGTACTAATTAACATGTGAGTTTTGTTTGTAAAGCAGTATAATGTTTGGTTGCTTTTCCTTTGTCATCTTTTGCTTTAGACCATGTTATTTTGCCCCAATTTTGGTTAAGAGAGATTCAGATGTGACACAGCATGAACAACATTGAGCTGAACTTTTAAAATATTGGCATTTTACTGCTTATACAACATGTTTTGAACATTCGGGCTTTTTCTTGCAAGTGGAAAATGCTATTGTTTTGGTGTTTTTTTTAACCTTTCTGTAAGTATTTGGAAGGAGAGGAGGGATAAATGTCACAAGCAAACTAAAATGGGGCTGCAGATATGAAAATTGAGATAGCCTTAACTAGAAGGAAAAGTGCATTCAACCCTCTTTATCTAGTATCAAAGATTGATGCAATTTGCAGATTATCTACATGCCTAAGTAGTTAAAGATGTACCGAGCATGGCTCATATCTAGAGTCTAGTTCAAACTACTTTCACTTTAGCCTTCCATGGTCTGTTGGCTCATATTGCAGGGCTGATGCCTCTCTGTGCTGTGAGATGATTTAGTCTAGGCATTGGTTGCCTCATTGCTTATTTATATCGTTGTGCTTAAATTGGATGCTGTTTCAAGACAAACATACACTTAATATCCACATCAATGTTTTCGATAGTGGAATTTGAGATATCGAAAGAGGAGTGAGAAAGAGAGAAACTTGAAGGGAGTAAGAAAGAAGGACTTCAAGGAAATCTCTGGATTGCCAGAAACCAGCCATTTCTAAAACTTCAAAGCCAAAGTTGATGCGCTGAAGCTAAAGGTTGATAATTCTAAAAACAGAAGTTGAATGTTTTATACAGGTGGTGCCATGACATTGGTCGGGAGCATGCTGCCAGCAAGCCTCTTCTGAAAACAGTTTTTCAGGTACTCTATCATTTTCATGTGGCTAATGAATCATTTTGGATTCAATATGTGTGATCATTCGTTATTGGTGTTGTACTCAGGTCATGATTCATTTATTCAGCCCCTGCAAAACTACATTGCTGTTTGTTTTACGTGATAGAACAAAGGTCTGCATTCATATAAATGATATTCTTTTAAGATGATTAAAATACTTATGATCCATGAATTCCTTCTTGTACTATGCTGAATCTTTCCTTTTTTGTGATTGTCTGTGCAGACTCCACTGGAGCATTTGGAGCCTATTTTAATGGAAGATATTCAGAAGGCATATTTATTCATTTTATGGCTATGCCTTTTTCTCTCTGGTCAACTCTTTGTTTCATTTAACATTTCTTAATAGGTTATTAATTTCGCAGGTATGGGCTGAAGTTGCTAAACCTGAGACTCATACAAGTACTCCTCAAAGTGAATTTTTTAATGTATGTAGATATCCTATCATTTCCATCTCCCTTACTAATGTTGTTGGTATTTTATGCTTCCTGTTTTACTTTTTCATTCTATTTTTTTCTTCAAATTGATATGAGCTTTAAGTTACCTTCTGGTCATTAACATAAAGGTGGAGTTTGCTGCTTTGTCTAGCTATGAAGAAAAGGAGGAGCAGTTTAAAGAGCAGGTATCGTGTGTAACTCTTATGATAAGACTAGCAATTTATTCAGCCTCGGAACTTTAGTTCCTCTTTTTTATTGGTTTCAACTTCTGGACTGTGATACAGCTCTATTTCTGTAGTCTGTTGCTTGTGTATGTTTGTGCAACTTACTGAAGTTCAAAGTCATTAGCATTACAGTGTCAAGGCTCATGTCATTATCAGTATTGTGCATTTTACAGATCATTCGAACTGAAATATGGCTGATTCTGAACAGATAGTGTAAATTTATTGAAAAAAAAAAAAAACTGTTTCGAATTACATAGCATTATAGTTGCCTTTGGCAGACTGATATGATGTCTTATGCAGGTCGATCAACTAAGACTGCAAATTTCCAATGCCATTTCTCCAGGAATCCTTCCTGGTGATGGAGAGGGGGTTGTCCCTGCTTCAGGATTTTGTTATAGCATGCAGAAGATATGGAAAACTATAAAAGAGAACAAGAATCTGGATCTTCCTGCTCACAAGGTTTGTATATGCCCTTTTCTTCTGGGAACATAAATCAATCATGAATTATTAGGCTTTGAATATGTTTTGCTAATTTTTTTTTTTCCAGGTGATGGTTGCCACTTTTCGTTGTGAAGAGATTGCCAAGGAGAAGCTCAAACTCTTTACATCTGATGAGGTTTTCTCTGAATATTCACTCTGATAATTTTGAATTTTTGGATCAGGCAGTGCTAAGTTGATTTCTTACAGGATTGGGTGTCAATGGAAAAGGAAGTTCAAGATGGTCCAGTATCAGGGTTTGGGGAAAAAGTTAGCTCTATTTTGGGATTCTATCTTTTAAAGTAAGCGTAGATCCTGCTATCATATCTATATGAGGATGTGCTATCTTACTATCTGTGTATTCAATGTTCAAAAGAAAACCATAAGGTTTTAAACCATTTGATCACCCATTCCAAACTTCCTCAAGTTTAACAGCTTTTTTCACAGAAGAGTTTATAAGAGTACTCCTTGTTCAACTTGATTTGGAATACTCTCTGCCATTGATTATTGATTCTGCATTTTCTTTTCAACAGATATGATGAGGAGTCCATCTTTTTTGATACTGGTGTTAGAAAGGAAAAACGGCAACTGTTTGAATTAAGTGCATTTGATGTAAGGCCTTAGTGTGTCCATTTCCTCTGGTTTTTTTTTCACCTCTCTTTCCTATTTGCTTATTTCATTGTCCCCTGTAGACTGCTGCAGGGAAGTAAAGTTTCTTTTCTGGTACTGGATAAATGGTTCTAGTCATAGTAAAAACATCCATTACATTATGTAATGGCAATTATTTATGGTTTCTTCATTATCCATTACAATTATATGGTGTTATAAGGTAAATATCGCCCTTTCACCTTAATAGCCATCATAACACTGTTACATAATGGTAAGAGGGCCAGTACTTCTTACTTCCATTATTTGCATTGGGGCTTATTTCCCTTACCTTTCTTTTTGCTTTGTCAGTTTATCTCATCTTTTGCAACTCCCTCGTGAAGATGAACCTAGATAAAATGTAAACTTGGAATTGTTTATTTTTGAAGTGAATATCTTACCTTAAATTTGGATAATTGACTTAATATCTCTGTTCCGTTACATTTATTTTGTAAGTATTGTTGAAAATTGAATGTGAGTTGCAAATTTATGGTATTGAGTTGCTAGATAAGTGCAGATCTAAAAATGGTTTGGAGATATTTTTGAAAGTTTTTGATGTATTTTTTGTTTAGCTAACATATTGAAATTTATGATGACTCAAGTTTTATTGTTTTCCAAACATTTGAATTAGACATGAATCTTGTTATTGTTAAGCTAATTCTTTTGTTTGTTTTTGGAGATAGAATAATTTCCTACAGACTACTTTTAGTGTGTTATTTTACAATTATTTATATGGTATTAGACTACTAGAAATGTTATTATTGTATTCTTTTTGTAAAATATATGAATTGACTAAAATATTATTAAGTATTGTTAAATGATTCGCAATAGCGATAGCTATGGTTTCTACTTTACATAAGAATTTTGCCTCGACCCTTGATTTTAACCACAGCAGCCATTTAAAATTACTGTTCTAGTGACGAACTTGTTTTTAGCTTCTTTTGCTTCTGTAGTTGGGTGCCTACATTTATTTACTTTATTCACTTTTACCTATAAAAAATTTTGTTTTCTTATATTGATCTGCTCAAACTTGTCAAAATGCATAGAGTTGAGTTTTCCTTTATCCTCTAGGTGGTATACCGAGCTTATGGTACGATGCTGGGACATTTAAGTTCTCGGGCACTTGAAAGTTTTAAGAGTAGATGGAAACAGTCACTGAGCAATGGTAAAGGATGGGCTGCATCTGTTCATACTTGTACAGAGTCTTGCATGCTTGAGTTTGATAAAGGATGTGAAGGTAACATCTCGTATGGAGGTTCAGACACACATTGGCTAAGCACTTCTTAACTGCATTAAGATGTAGATGCATGTGCTTATTATCATATTTTTTAGGGATCAAAATAGTAAGTCTGCTTTTACATTTCCTGGCAAATCATTTCACGCTGCTTAAGTTACAATTACAGCATGCTTTATTTATTTATTTATTTTGGGTACAATGGTCAGGGGTATCCTTGGACCAGCTTGTGCATCCACCGGGACTAGGTTACATTTACAGCAGGCTTTAGATTTGACATGAAAACAACTGCATTGATAAATTATTTCCTCGGTTAAATTAACAAGTATTATTGCATAAAAGCAGGACGATGAGCATTGGTTCTTCTGATTTAAATCACCACTTTTTGGTTGGAAAAGAATCTGAGTTACCATAGCTATTACCATGTTCATAATTATGACCTTGTCAACTGTTCCTCTTTACCAGTCCTTTTGTAGCTAGGGTATCCCTAAAGTGCTGTTAGATATTACAGTTCATCCTTATATTTGGTAATTGGAATTTCATCACCCTCCTAGATGTGCTCTGTTGCTGTTTGACTGCTAAAATTGTCTTGGCCTACTGAATAACCTCATATCTTAGAGATATGTATGTTTATGAAGCTTCAAAGAAGGCCCTGTAGCGGTTTCAATCTATCTGAGAGTTGACTTTCTTCTCTTATAGGCTATCAAAGATGTTTTGTCTCCTCCTCTATTAGAATAAACCATGAAGGTGTATAGCTCATGCTCACTAATTAGGATATGTTTCTCCACTTCATCCTCCGACTCCAAGCTGACCAGCTTGCACTTCGGTAGACAAACCTCAAGTGGTTACAATTCTGACTTCAGCCAATGTCGGTTCAATGAATAGATCATATATAGAAAAAAAAAAAAAAAATTGACAATGACAGCTATAACAAATTGTTCAAGGTGTTGCTATTAGAACTGATGATTTTATGATGTTCAAACTTCAAAATAATTTACATGCATTGCTTGGTTAGGATTTGTTGCCCACTTGTTCAGTTTCTTGTATTTGGTGAGTGACCTTTAATATCCTGGTCTCTCAGATGCTGCCATAAGGCAGGCTAGTTGGGATTCTTCAGACGTCCGGGAAAAGCTTTGTCATGAAATCGAGACATATGTGTCATCAGTTAAGAGTAGCAGCTTGTCAGAAATGTTAGCCAAATATGAGGTAATTTTCTTGGTCACTAACCAAAGAGCTTGTAGTCCAGTAGTAGTGGTCTCTTGCAACAAGAGATCATGGGTTCAAATCCTAGTTGACTAGCTTTGCTAGGAGCCTTGGGTGTGTGAGTAAAAAAAAAAAAAAATTTCTTGGTCAATATTAGAATCCAGGAGTATTCTTTGTAGTTTTAACTGTGCATTTTCTTTATACAATCAGATGACCGAATATTCAATACATTATTGATATGCAGAATCGACTCATTGATGAGCTCACTATGCCTCTAGAGTCTCTATTTGAAATTCGTGAAAAAGACACATAGGCTGAAATAAGAATGCATGTTAGGCATAGAACTGGAATTGCTATTTCAAAATTTTCAGATGCTGTTGGTAGTTTTGATTTGGATGGATCTACAATTGACAGAAAGAAGCGGTGTTTAAGTGAGTTTGCAAGAAATTTAGTGGAGAGAAAGGCAAGAGAAGAAGTAGGGAAAGTCCTGTTCCGCATGAAGGATAGGTAGAGTGTCTAATCATTGCTTGCTTTTCTTCTTTCAATTGTCCTTTCTGTTAGTTAAGTTTTGGATCATTTATCAGGTTCGCAAATGTTTTCAATAATGGAAAGGATTCAAAACCAAGGGTTTGGATGGCGAAACTAGACATTATAACAGTTAAAAACGTTGCTCAATCTGCAGTAATCTAACTAGACTTTTTAACCAACAGCTCCTGCCTGTTTATACTTGAGTGTCATCTAAATTTCTTGAAATCATGGCATTGCAGTCTTTGAAAATTCTATCAGTCATGGCAGCCGTACGCCTCGACAACAAGGAAGACAATATTGAGGAAGTACTGTTTTCCTCACTCATGGGCAAAAAATCTTCCAAAGATAGAAGCACAGGAGCTAGTACTGACCCCTTGCTTCAAACACATGGGAAAAGGTAATGGTTGATATTCTTTCACAGTTACGCATCTATGCAATGCTGTTGTTTATATATAAATTGATACAGATCGTTATATATTTTCCAAATGGATTTCATATAAAATCAAATATGAGGCAGGTCTCTCCGAATGCTACACTGCTCACACCAGTGCAGTGCAAGTCATTGTGGAAGCAATTCATAGAGGAGACTGAGCATGAAGTGACCCAAGCTATTTCTGCTCAGGTACCTTACTTGCCTTTTCCTTTTATGGTATCTTTTTTTTGCGATACGTGTTGATTTAGAATTTGGTTGAATGTTTTATTTAATTTTGAACTAATTTGGTGGAGTATTTTTGGGTTATGATTTGCCATCTTTTATATTATGTGCCAAGTAAAGTTCTTATGTTTCTAAACTTGGGCATTGAATAAAGAATACATTACACATACTTTGCTCTCTAAGCCAAGAATAGATTTAATGCAGCAATTGAAGTTTCTTATATCGTAGAATCTACCCAGTATGCTTACATGTAGTGCTTGAATGTTTTCTTTAGGAGGCTCAGAGGTGGATAGAAAGGAGGTCATCTATTCTATGGACAGTTGCGGAAAATGCAGGGGCAGCAGCAGTGGGAACGGCAACAGGGGCGGCTTTGGTGGTTGTGGGGGTTGCTGCAGGGCCAGCAGGGGCTGTGGGAGGGGCAGTCGGGTTAATGACGGCAGCAGCTGCAGCAGCATTGAAGTGATGCAAGGGTGGTGACAGCATTAGGTGTGTTTTTAGTTATATCCAATGATTTATATTTGTATTTCAATGGATATATTATGGTATGGTGTCCGATTACATGGATTTTGAGGTCTCTGATGTGTTCTGTTCTTGTCCTCGTCGTTTATGCGAGACTTTGGTGACTTATTCTTGTAGTAAGAAATTGCTTGTGTATAGGTTCTATTGATCTGATTAGAGGGCTCATGGAAATCGTGGGCTACAAAGATTCTGTTTTCCAGATGCTTTTATTAATAAAGTTTGGGATATTCTTGATTTACTAGTAAACATGATGATAAATTTTAGGTGCTGTTCATTTTCTGCAAAGTAAGAGACGCTTGCCACCATGTTTGATAAGTTGACTGTGGTTTCCATTTTTTCATTTGCTGGATATAGCTGCTGCTTATACTCTTCAATCAAATCTGCATACCCAGTTTTTCATTTTTTCTGTGGATCTCTTGGCAAATTCAGTCAAAATACCCATAATTAATTAGACCATTTGTCAATATTTTCATTTTTCTACTGTACTAAAAGAAAAAAAAATTGTGGGTAAAGGACATGTTTTCACCCAAACGATAATGCTTGTCCCAATTACATCCTCCACCTATCGATTATCCCTTTTGAATTCCCCGTTTATTCGGATTTTGATCAATCAACTTCATCGTGATCAATTGAGGAAGATGAAACAAACATGTTAGGCAGATGCTTACACTACATTTTCTTGAATAAATTGAGGAAGGAGAGAAAATGGGGTGGAGGAAAATTATTCTCTAATTCCGTTTGGATTTCATGAAAATGGAGAGAATAGGTTTTCTTCTTATTGTTTATAGTAACAGAAAAGTGGAAGGGGACAAGATTTGGAATCAATTTTACTAAAATGCCCTTTCTGTTGCTTGATTTATTTTCCGTAGCTTTATAATCTGCCTATTAATCTTCTATTTCTTTATTTTTTATAGAAAAATTAAAAAAAAAGATTTTCTAATTAGTTTTTATCAACTTTCTGTCTTTTTTATTGAAAAATACTATTGGAAGAAAATTAATTTTCCACCAGAAAAATTATACTAGAAGGGAATTTTTTTTTTTTTTGACTCTTTCTCAAAAAGGAAAATTTTAACTCAAAAAAGAACATTTTTGGTTTTGTAGATTTAAATTTCAGAAACAATATGAATACAAATTTTTTAAATGTACTGTACCGATATAAAAATAATATTTTTATGGTCGAATAAAAAAATAACAATATTAGTATAAAAATATAATTCATTCTTCAATAAAATTTTTTCATGAAATTTTCTTGTAAATAATTGGAGCCAGTTGTAAAAAGAAAATCAAGCCAGCATAATTACTGCAAGATCCCAGTTTACCATGTTTTTTTTTTCTTTTTTGAGAGAGAGAGAAAAGAGAGTGCCTCCATCTGCATCCTCTTTTTTCTTGAATCTTCTCTTACACGTCAGCAATATCTAACAATCCATAAAATGCCCAACCCATTTCAATTTTCGTCATAAATATTAAAGAACCATCTTAACTTAACAATTTAAGCTATTAGATAAAGCTCTATGATTTAGTTAAGAGGGAAGAGAGTGCGTCCATCATCATTATCTTCTCTCTTAAATCCTCTCTTACACATTAACAAAACCCAACAACCTACAAAATGCTCGACTCAATTCATCTTCGCCATGAATGTCAAAGAATCATAGCAAACCTAACAACTTAGGCTATTAGGTGAGACTTTATGATTTAGTTGAGAGAGAAGAAAGTGCCTCCATTATTGTAATCATCATCTTCTTTCTCAAATCTTTTCTTACACATCAGCAATGCCCAACAATGCACAAAAAGCTCAATCAATTTCAACTACGCCATGAATGTGAAAAAAAATCTTAATTCAACAGTTTAAGTTGTTAGATGAGACTTCATGTATTGTTTTATATTACTCTCTAATACACTTCTCAAATGAAAGTCCTTTGAACATCCCGTCTTGTGCTTAATTAATTAAAAGAGAAATGCAAATAGTGAGATTTGAACTTGTAGTCGTTTGATTATTAATGACCTAATATCATGTCAAATAACCATCTCAACCCACTAACTCAAGCTGTTAGGTGAGAGCCGATGAATGATTTTATATTACTCTCTAATAATGAAAAACCTATGTAAGCCAATATTTGTATCAAGAAAAAACAATCACCTTCAATTTCACACACACGCAAGCATTGAGATTTTCTACTTATTGTAGTTTTTGAGGTATGATTTGCTATCTTCCAGGGCTAAGTGATTGTGAGTTCATGTTATATGTGATAGTCGATTAATCTGTGTTGTGCCCTGCAGGTAAATGTTTCGTTGAGCTTCTTACAAGGTCATAATTTCAGCAGATATGGGCTGAAGTTGCTAAGCCCGAGGCTCATAAAAATGCTCCTCTTAGTGAATTTTTTAACGTCGTAGATATCCTCTCATTTCCATCCCTCTTGCTAATGTTTTTGGATACGTGTTTCATAACTTACATTTTTCTGTTAAATTGTTGTTTAACTTTTTAACTTCTGATCATTGGCACGAAGGTGGAAGTGACTCTACGAGGAAAAGGAGGAACGGTATAAAGAGCAGGTACCCTGGACTCTTACAATAGGAATAGAATTTTATCCAGCCTCATAATTTATGTTCATCATTTTATTGGTTATTTATGTTCTAGCATTTTGTTTAGTATTAGTATGAATAGTGTTTTACAGCCAATTGTGAACGGATTGGGTACATTTATTGCAGAAGGTCACCTTTCAATGGCGTAGCATTGAAGTTTCCATGGAAAGGTAGACTAATGTGATGCCTTATGCAGGTTGCTTCACTGAGGCTGCTGATTTCCCATTTCCTTTCTCCAGGGCCTTGTGGGTGACAGGAAGCGAGCTGGCTCTGCTTCTTTTAATACAGAGCAGATATGGAAGGGTCATCAGCAAAGAAATAAGAGAAAGATAACAAAGCTTTTCAAAACAAGAATATATAAATGCGTTCAAGAGGTAGCATTATTGGTCTGAGATACAACATACTATAGATGAACAGACAGACCTAGCAGCAGTAGCACAATGTCTATACTATAGATGCAGCCATTCGCAGTAGCTTTGAGAAGCAAACAAGTTTTCTACAGAAATATACCATGCCACCAATCACTTGAGGCTACACTACCACTGAAGAGCCACACTTCTTAAGAACAACAGTTGAAATCCTGATCAGGGCATAAGGCAACCAATACTGACTTGAATGAGAAAAAACTATAATTAGCTCCGTCTCTGTTCTACAACCTAGCCATCCAGAGAGATCATTTTCACTCCATGTATTGTTGCTGCTGCATTTACTGCCATACCCAGAGTGATCAGAGACCTAGCATGACACACCAGCAACAGTATCATCCAGAGAGATCGCCAATCACACACAACTAGAATTCACAAAAGCTCCTTTTCCCGTTTTATAACCCAGCCGTCAGATAATAATATTTTGCCAAATCCGCCAACAAACAAAGCAACTAGGAATTAGGATGAACAACATGAGCATAAAAATACTTAAGACACAACATAACTGATTAAATTCAAAGTCACGGAATGGTTTCATGGCCTTCCAAACGAAAAGAACCAAATAGAAAACAGTCAAAATTTTTCTGTCAATTTAAGTTGTGGTTGCTCATCAATATCATCTTGGATAAACAATGGATGGACGCCACATTTAACCACCTTACAAGCTTCCTCGTGTGAAGAGAAACGAAATGAGGCCTTCTTGAAATGGCAATTAGAGTTAATAGTCCAAATGAACACATACTCTGATCCTAATACACTATACCTCCTCCACATGTCTCTTCCTCCTTCGGTGAATAAGAAACAGAGTTGACTCTGTTCTCCATCTTCGGTTATCAGATCACATATACATGCAATATTGAAGCGATAGAGCACATAGAAGTTGAATGCAACAACAGCGCAAAAAGCAAAACCCAAGAACTGATCAGTACTGGTACTACTGCTAGGGTACAAATGAGCTGGCAGCTGCTTGATGTTTTCTAATGAAAATCCGTCTGCATTTATATAGCTGAACCACTCCGGGACTTCAAACCCAGAGATGCACAATCTAAATGTACTTGGCTTACTACATCCCTGCACCAGAGATGCACAAAATTATCATCTTGATGTTTATTTATAAATAAGAGATTGAGATGTAGAGAGAGAGGGAGGAAGAATTCACCTGATTAAACCATGATGTTGCGTTGCGTTGAATTCTTAAACGTGTGTCATTCATAAATTTAAGGCTTTCGTTCTCGCCCAATTCATTGCAATCAGTAAACTTGAAATCCTCATTGCCAGCTTCATACTTCTTCTCGCCTTGTGTGAGTAAACTTGCTACTGATTCTAGAGAGATGCATGCTGACGCATCTAAAACTTGTAGACTTGATGGAAGCCCTGGTAAACATTGAAGACTTGCTAATTTTTTGCAATAACAGAGATCAAGCATTGCAAGACATTTCAACTGGCCAATGCTGTCTGGAAGGCTTGCTAGTTTTGAGCAACCAAAAAGGTGGAGACTTGCAAGGCATTCTAACTCACCAATGCTGTTTGGAAGGCTCCTAATATTTTTGCAGCCGGATAAATCCAATTCAACAAGTTGAGAGAGTTTCTCAATTGACGAGGGCAAAGTACGAAAACTTTCACACAAGGAAAGGTCTAATTCAGTAAGTTTGGTGCAGTGTTTAATAGAGTCGGGTAACTCAACCAAACTACTACACTCTGCCAGATTTAAAACCTCAAGATTTGGGAATTTAGACAAATTTATTAATCTCAGGTTGTGGGAGCCCTTGAGGGTCACTGATTTCAAATTCGTAAGCTGCTGTAAAGAAATAAGACAAGGTAAGAATGAGAAATGCATGCTTATCAATAATTTTCAAAATGCAATAAAAGAAGGATGCTAGCTTACCGAATATTCATTCTGATACTCATTCCAAAGTTGTTCAAGCTGGCTATAAGACATATCAAGTTCAGCAAGTTCGACTCCACTAAAATTTGATGGCAAAGATTTTGAAGGGTAATGAAACCAGCAGAGAGACCTTAGATTATTTGGAAGAAATTCAAGGCCATGAGGAAGGTTTATTGGATTTTCGAAAAAATAGAGCAACCTAAGGTTATCAATCCCCTTAAATGCTGTAGGACGTAACTTAATTTCCGTACTTGCATGTTGGAGGGACATGGCTTCCGCTTTTTCTGTCCCCTAATTACCAAAAGCAAAGAGTAAGTTATTGTATATTTTACAATTTTGTAGTATATAAATATCCCTTAACAACTAAAATAGAAGAGTAATTAAATCAGCATACAACAAATAAAGATTTCAAGGCTACATCTCGTACAAAACACAAATCATGTGAAAAGACAGTCAATTAATCATTTAAGACCGGTACCTGATGATTTATTAATATAGGGAGGATATCCTCAGCCTTCCACAGCCGACTACGCTTTCCAGGATCATTGTGTTCTTTGACGACAATTTCTTGACCCAGTTGTTGTACCACATCATGCATCCATATCTTGTTGTCGACAATTTTTATGAGACACAAATCAGCGAGACGGTCTATTCCATTTCTTTCTTCGAGATCTAGTGTTCGTTGGACAACATTCCAATCGCAACTTCCAAAGAAACATGCTATATCAAGAAATATTTTCTATTCTGTCCAACGTAATTCATCATAACACATTTTCAAACTTTTAAAGTTCTCGCCATGATTTTTTCTTAGCTCCTCCATCTTACTTTCCCAATATTCTTTACTCCTTTTGTACAGACTGGATCCTAAAACTTCCAAAACTAATGGAATGCCTTTAACATAGCTTATCACCCCTTTTGATAGCTCTGTATAGCCTTCTGCGGGATTTTTTTGATGAAAAGCATGTAAGCTGAGGAGTTCGAGAGAATCACGGTCATCTAAATTCTTAACCTCATATATTTTGTCTTCGTCACATTTATTTATAAGCAGTTGCCTGTCTCTACTCGTCACAATGATTCTACTTCCTTCGCCAAGCAAACCTGCAGCCTCTCCTACTAAATCTTTTAATTCCTGATGACTATTCACATTATCAAGAATGATGAGAACTTTAATTCTTTGAAGCATTCGCTTACTGCTGTCTTCTTGAATATTCAGATCATTATTCTTTAATGCTTCACGAAGAATTTCTTGTATTCCATACTTCTGTGATTGTTTCCTATCATTTTCAAAGAACAAATGGCCATCAAATCGACGATAGTTTTGATGATATACAGCTTTAGCCGTTGTTGACTTGCCTATACCACCCATCCCCCAGATTCCCACAATGAGCACACTGGGTGATTCAAAGGACAGCATGGATTCAATGGCTTTAACACGTGATGTAATTCCAACAAAACTTCCTGAATTGCTTGAGGATGAACCAGATGAAGGCATCTGCTTTAATTTCTTGTTAATGTCATCAACAATTTCCCGAATTAGTATGGTGTCAGGCCTGGTGCATAATGAAGAACAAACAATAGTAAGTAAAATAAGACTAAAAATCTAAGAAAACTCAATCGTGATATGTATCATAGCATCGTGTTATTAATTCTCAAACAAAATTGTGCAAATATATGTATGTATTTATGCATGTGCAAGCCCACACCCATAGAGTTACCAAATTAAGCCAATAACTTACTTAGTGACATTTGAATCCCAGCCTTTCATTTTGGCTATTTCTTCCAGTGCTTGTCTCCATTTGGACGCTTCTTCTAAACTGTATTTTTTTTCATGCAAGAGAAGCGCATCCCCAAATATCCCACACAGATTTCCGACATCATCTGGGGAAACTTTGTAAAAAACTGGTATGACAATCTGGCCTTTCGTCTCCTTACATTCAAGAATTTTCGAGAGTTCCCTCAAACAAAAGGTAGAATCTGCGTAGTGTTCGGAGAGAATGACCACTGAAATAAGCGATTCTTCAATCTTTCTCAAAAGGGCTGGCTCGATTACATCTCCTCCTTGAAGTCTATTATCAATGTAGGTCTCAATCCCATTTCTCACCGATTCAAGATGAAGGAAACTGACAACATTATCACGGGTGTCTGTGCCTCTAAAACTTAGGAACACATCATACTTCGCTATAGGATTAATAGCGGAAGAAGTAGAATCCATATGAAAGGCTCTGTAACAAGCAGAACAAAACAAAAGATTATAATGAGTAATAATAAGTAACGATCATGTAAAAGTAAAAATATTAAGTCAAGAACTTCCACCAAGAATTCTGTAAAAAATTCATTGAACAATTTTTTATTTTATTTTCTTCTGATAACTCAATCGTAAATTAACAGAACACCAAGCTACCGAAAAGAGATATCAAGATGAGAAAGTACAAGAACTAGAGAAAAAAAAGCATTCATATATCAATCACAAATGTTAATCGTAAATTAACAGAACACCAACACGGATGGAGATCACTTCGTCTCCTTTGCATTTAATAGATTGGTAGGTTATTATATAAAGTCTAAAAATTCTAAAACACCAATAATTAACGGTTGAAAATTCAATCACGTCGTGTAAATTAGGTTTTTACAAAAAAAAAAAAAAAAAAAATCAAACAAACATGATAAAGAGTATAAAATAAATCAATCACAAAACCAAATTTAAAATTATCCGCTATAATTTAAAAAAAATAATATCATTACTCAAGTTTCTTAGGAAACTTGAGAATAAAAATTATTAATAAAAATACAAATTATCTCTCTAATTAAATTTATCACATCATGAAAACTTAGAATTTGTAATATTTTTAAAAAGTTTCGTGTTGTGTTTATTATAGAAATCATCCAAATTAAAGAAAAAAACTCTTGTTTTTTTTTTTTTTTTGTCTTCCTTCTACTTTCTTTGGTATTAGTGTTTTAAAAAAAGACAAATTTTTTTCATGTGCATGCAAAGAAAGAAAATAAACTTTCTTTCTAGCTAGGTTTTTGATAATTATTTTTCTATTTAATTTTTTCATAAGCTATGTTACTATCACCATATAGTAGACCTTAAATACTCACTTAACATAACAGCAAGTCAGCAAACCATAACAAAATTTTCAACTACTTCAATTAAATTTCCCTTAAGTGTATTGAAATCAAATTCTTCTTTGATCGGCTCCTAAACAAACAAGCCACGCCTTAATTGATGCATTTATAAGGAATTATAAATAAATGAAAAAAAAAAAAAAGAACGCTAAAATTAATGAGAGCCAAATATTGTCTTCTTTTGCTTATTTCTTTAATTTGCTCATAAAGAGATCCGTTGATGAGAAGTTAGCCAAAGATGATGCTTATAAAAGTATCTTTAATGCTCTCTTTATATTAAGATTTTTCTTTATAATAAAGAAGTTTGATCCAAATTTTATCTTCAATACTCTCGTTATCATAATCTCTATATTTAAAATTAACATACAGAGTGTATTTAGCTCTCCAATACTAAAAAGTTTAAATAACTCTTTATCTTATATTTTATTAATGAAAATTATTATTTCCTATGTTATTCAACCTTTTCATCAATAGTTTTTTTAGATTTTATAGATTTTATTAAAATAAAAAGTTAAATAAAGAATAATATTAGAGAGATATTGATCTTCAATGTATATAATTAACAATACTCTCTATTTATGTTAAAAATACTAATTAAAAATAAATAGTATAATTAGAGATTAGAGATGCTCTAAAATGAATAGGTCATCTCTATTGTATTTAATAGGTCTTCTTCTTTTTCTTGGCAATACTATTTATGCAGACAGAGTACAACGTTGTTCTCAGTGCAAGTACAGCGAACCATCATTCCGCCTGAGAGCTTCATCAGCTTCAATAAACTAACTATGAATAATTACTCCTTGTAAGAAAAGTCAGAAAATTGTAGGGAAAAAAACTGAAAAATTGGTGGCTTGCAATTTCAATTTATTGTACACACCACCCGTTGCTAACGGGTCAGCAACTCAAAATATTATTTGTCACCTCAATAAATAGGTTAATTGTTGAAAGTATCTCTGTGGTTTTTCTTTTGTTTTAACTAGCATATATTCCGAACGTTGCTGTAAGATAAGCTATAAAATATTTTTATGTATTCACTCATATAAAATTTAAAATTTAAAAATAATTATTTAAAAGGATCACGTGAAAAAAAATTCGAGATGAGTTATACAACATTCTTATGTATTCTTTCATATAAAATTTAAAAATAATAATTTAAAAAGATCATGTAAAAAAATAAAAAAAAGAATAAAAAAATATATCTCATATTTTACTACAAGGTTAGCTAAACGAAAAATCAGTAAAGTTGAATAATATAATGTTGTTAATTAAATATTATTTGATATAAACATGTATTTTATTAGAAATATATATAATAACTTGTAATTAAAATAATGATGTGGTAGTTTTATAAATTTTAGATGATTAATTTTTACCATATATTCTTCATCCGTAATTTGTTAATGAGATAGAGAGACCACCCAAAACAAAAAGACATAAAAGCTTTATCAAATCGAGAATTTGGCAAAAATATAGAGATAAAAGTACAAATGATTAAAACAAAGTAAAGATCATAAAAGAATTATCAAAATAAATAAATAAAACTTTCACTAGAAGCCAAAAAAAAAACTTATAAACAATAAGACTATGAACAGTTTTACTAAAAACCAAGAAAAAAATATTTATTATATAACAAAAAGCTTTCACTAAAAGCAAAAAAAAAAAAAACTTATAAATAATAAGACTCGTGAATAATTTTACTAAAAGCCAAGAAAAAATATTTATTATAGGGACAAAAATCAAATATAATAAAATTTTAATATTTATTATTGGGATAAAAAATCAAATATAATAAAATTTTAATGATCAAAATAAAAACGTTACAAAAAAGGGACTAAAATAAAAATAAAATAAACTTTTGATATTTATTATAGGGACAAAAATGAATATAATAAAATTTTAATAACCAAAATAAAAAAAGCTACAATATAGGGATTAAAATAAAAATTAAATTCACCAAATGTCAAAAGAAGAGCTTAAAAAATGCAGCAAGAGGGGAAAAAATTATTTTTTATAGGGCTAAAAATCAAACATTATAAAATTTCAATGACTAGAATTAAAAAAGTTACAAACTAGAGACTAAAATGTAAAATTTATTAAAAGGCAAAAGAGAGGCTTAAAGCATAAAGAGAAAGGGAGAGAAAAAAAGAAAAAAGAAAAGCCGGACACAGCAAAAAAAAAAAAAAAGTAAACAGGGAATGAACAGTGGTACAGCTATAATACTTTCTTGTTTTGTTTTTTTTTTTTTTTGTAATTGTATTTTTTTAATTTTTTTTTTAATTTCATCTTCTTATATTTAATTTATGTTTTAATTTCGTCCATTTGTTTTTTTTTTTTTTGAACTAACAACATTAAATAGCACCGTTACCCACAAGATTGCAGCATGTGTCAATCTTTTTTTTTTAATTTCATTATTCTACTCTTTTTTAATGAAAAAACTTTAAAATGAAGAAAAAAATATTTTTTATCCAAAATATTATTGGTTTAAATTTATTTTTACGACACTAAGTAAATTTTTAGTACAAAATGAAATATTTATAATATTTTTTTAATGTCAAGAGATTTTTTAATTAATTTTTAAACTCTATTTATAATTTTATAATATCTTAAAAGTCTATTAAAATTTACTTATTTTTATTTTGTAAATTTTTAATTTTGACTCAAAAGTGTGAATATAAATTTTATTAAGATTTTTTAAAAAGAAAAATACTAATAACATTTTTTTTAACACTACATCTAAAACACTCACTCAGTACAAGTGATTCTTAAACAAAAAGAAAATTCAATATATATATATATATAAACCTTAGTGTTTATAAGATTTTATCGAGAAAATAAAATAACAATTAATGTAAAAAATGGTATATAAATAAATAAATAAATTATTTTTTATTTTTATTTAATATTTATGAGGACGAGGACGTTAGTTTTTGAAAGTATAGTTGATTTTTGTATGTTTATTCACAAAAAAAAAAAACAAAAAAAACAAAAATACTAAAATAAAAACTGTATTTGAATCATTGGATAGTTATGCAAAAGCATAATTTCATATATTTATAAATAAATGGTAAATGCTTAGTGTTTTGATAGTTGAATAGCTGATGTTTACAAAAACTAATTATTCAATTTTTTTTATATAAATTATAAATATATTGAGTGGGTTGAAAGTCTATAATTTAAAACAAAAGACATTTAAAAACAAAATCACTTTTAAGGAATATATTAAATAAATTGAAAAATTATAGATAAAAATAAAAAATTAGTAAAACATAATTTTGATAAAATTTTGATTATATAAAGAAGAACTAAATAAAACACGTAAATTCCTCTTTTTTTGTTCTAAAATAATTTTTTTATTTCCAAGCCATACATTTTCAGTCCTTCGAATAGGCCTCACACGCATAGCAATCACTTTTTTTCGTTTTTTGTTTTTTGAAAATTTGACTTTTAATTATTAATTAAATATTTTGAAAATTATTTTTTTTAAAAGAATCTAGACAAATTAGCTTAAACACATTTTTAATTAAAAATATATATTTTGGACAAATTATATATCATGCTACTATAATTATAAAAAATTATTCCATCTGGGGTAGTTGATGAACAATAGTTTGTAAGGCGTTGAACAATATCGTGGAGTGCAGCGTTTTAATTATAATATTTTGCTTAATTAATTTTTTCTAATATTTTTATAAATTTTCTACTTAAAAAACATATATCATTCTTCTTTATAGATTGATTATAAAATTAAAAATTATAATAATTTTAACTAAAATATTAATCAAGAATTGAAAGAAAACTTTTCAAATGTAATTTTCACAATATTGTATTCCAAAAAATAAAGTTATAATTAATGGATAGACTTTTATAAAAAATTAACAAATGAAAAAAAATTCTTTTTTAGTGCTGATGAGAATATTAATTTTTAAAATAATCTGCACAATACTACGGATAAATAGAACAAAATCATTTCAAAATGTTATAATTTTTTCATTAATATTTTTATTTAATTATTACTTTTTTGTGTTTTTTCACAAAATTTATATTTTTAAAAAAATGATTTATTCTTCGTTATTCATGGATTCTTAAAAAAAAATTGTAATAATTTAAACCTAAAATATTAATTAAAAATTCAAAAAAAAATACTTTAAAATTATTTTTTTTATATCAAAATGTATCCAAAAAATAAAGCTATAATTAATGTATAGACTTGCATAAAAATTAACCAATAAAAAAATAAAATTTTATTCTTATTTAATATTGGTGAGAAGATTTTTTTCACAAGTATATGCATTTGATCTATATATATTTATTTATTTATACAAAATAATCAATAAAATTAGCATAAGAAACAGTACTTGAATAATTAGGTGGTTCATTTAAAAAATTATTTTAATTATTTTATTTCAAATAAATTGGTTCTGTAATGTTAAAAAAATATTTATAGTAAATACTTTGTATTATGTTGGAAGATGTATAGTTAATTTTTAATAAAATCAACGATTCAATAATTTTTTTATATGTCTTGGCCATACCTAGTGAACTGATATAAATTATTTAAAATACATATTTAAACTTTTAGAAAAACAAATATATTTATATATATGCAACTATCATTTAAAAATTTTAAGAATTTATGATATATATTATACCAATTTATTTTTTTAAGAAAAGCAATCGTGTTTTAAACTTTTTTTCTAAAATTCAAACATAAAGAAAAATAAATTATATAATATCAGTAATAAAATTTCATATAAAAAATATTAATTGGATGAGTATTTTTATAAAAAAAAATGATGAATTCAAAGAATGAAATTTAAATAATAAGAGTATATAAATTGAAGTATAGGTTAATTTTAAAATATAAAAAGATATATTATATAATTGTCGGTTTGTATGAAAAAAGTTACGATTGATTTTTTAAAATTTTAAAACCCAATTAAATAAAAAAAAATAAATTGATGGAAAAAGCAAAGAAAATTTTGATTTGTCAAAATTTAACATCCAACTAAATAAAAAATATAAATTGATGAAAAAAAGCAAAGAAAAAAAAAGAAAAGACATGTGTAGTGCATTAGTCGGGGAGATTAAAATTTTTAAGGATCAAAATGAAATAACTTGAAAATTACAAAAAAAAAAAAAAAGAAAAGAAAAAACTACAATAATGAGCGAGTGATTTTCACTTGTTCATCAATGCTCAAGATATGATCGTCGGTTTGAGTGAAAAAAGTTACGATTAATTTTTTAAAATTTTAAAACACAATTAAATAAAAAAAACATAAATTGATGAAAAAAACGAAGAAAATTTTGATTTTTCAGAATTTTAACATCCAATTAAATAAAAAAAAAAACATAAATTGATGAAAAAAAGCAAAGAAAAAAAGAAAAGACATGTGTAATGCATCGATTAGGGAGATTAAAATTTTTAAGGTTCAAAATGAAATAACTGAAAAATTACAAAAAAAAAAAAAAAAAAACCTATAGTAGTGAAGAGTGATTTTCACTCGCTCGTCACTACTTAACAACTTCGGTCATTTTAGTTTTATACTAGCTGGTTGCCCGTACTACTCCGTGGGTCTAGTAGAACAAAATCATTTTAAAATTTTAAAATTTTTTAATTATAATTTTTATTCAATAAAATTTTTCTAATGTTTTTTTATAAACTTTTTCTTTAAAAAAAACATAAATCATTCTTCTTTATGAATTGATTTTAACTAAAATATTAATTGAGAATTAAAAAAATTAAAAATATATTTTTCATAATATTGTATTACAAAAAATAAAATTATAGTTAATGGATAGACTTTTATAAAAATTAACAAATGAAAAAAAATTATTTAATGATGATGAGAAGATTGATTTTTGAAATTATCAACGCAACGCTGTAGGTAGATAGAACAAAATCATTTCAAAAATTTATAATTTTTCATTTAATTATTTTTATTATTTGTGTTTTCATAAAACTTTTAAAAATTCTAAGAATTCATGATATATATTATATCAATTTATTTTTTAAAAAAGAAAAAACAATCATGTTTTAAGATTTTATTCTAAAATTCAAATATAGAGTAAAATAAATTATATTTATCAATAAATAAAATTATATATAAAAATATTAATTGGATGAGAATTTCATAAAAAAAAACTTAAGGAATGAAATTTAAATAATAAAAGTAATATAAGCTGAAGTAAATGTTAATTTTAAAAAATAAAAAGATAATATATATATATATATATATATATATATATTATATATATATATATATATATATATATATATATATATATATATATATATATATATATATATTATCATCGGTTTGTGGAGAAAAAAATGATGAATAATTTTTAAAAATTTTAACACTTAATTAAATAAAAAAAAGAACATAAATTGGTGAAAAAAAAGGAAAAAAAACCAAAGAAAAAAGAAGGACATGTAGTGCATGAGCTAGGGATTAAATTTTAATTTTAAAATTTTAGGGATCAAAATGAAATAATTTAAAAATTATAAAAAATTACTTAAGAGTGAATAGTACATTACGAGGGAAACACTTAATTAAATAAAAATAAAAGAACATAAATTAATGAAAAAAAACAAAGAAAAAAAAAGGCACGTGGTGCATCAATTGGGGATTAAAATTTGAAGGACAAAAAAAAAAAAAAAAAAAAGAGTGAACCGTAGATTGTTAGGGGATGAACAGTATTGCCATTGTTCAAAAACCCCACCTCTTTTAGTTTATTAGTAACTAGTCGGATACATGCACTATGCTACGGATAGACAACTGTTATATATGCGGGGTTAACGATTTATATGGTGTAATGTCGGTAGAAAGTCTTATTTTTGCTGATTAATATAAATCAAATCTATATATAGTTAATTTCTAATATATATATATATATATATATAACGGATGGATTGTATATAAAATAAATAAAAAAATATACAGAAAAAACCTATATAAATTGTAGAAATATATTGAAGTCAATAAATTAAAATAAAAACAATAACAAAATTGATTCTGAATAAATATATATAAAAATGCAAATAAAAATTGTAAATTTTTTAGCTCATTATTTAAAAAAAAATTAAGTCAAATTATCTAAAGCATACTTTTAGCTCTCTCTCTCTCTCTCTCTCTCTCTCTCTATATATATATATATATATATAATTAAAAAATATTAAAAAATAAAAAAATCATTTAAAAATAAAAAAATAATTCATTGCATCAATTATAATAATATATTTAAAAGAAAATAAAACATTGATGTTTTAAAATAAAAACAACAACGATATTAGTTTTGATAAATTCTGAATAAATATATATAAAAAAGCAAATAAAACTTGCGAATTTTATAACTTGCTATTATTTAAAAAAAATAAGTTAAATTATCTAAAACATACTTTTAGCTCTCTCTCTCTCTCTCTCTCTCTCTCTCTCTCTCTCTCTCTCTATATATATATATATATATATATATATATATATATATATATATTAGAAAGTAAAACACTCATTTAAAAATATAAAAATAATTTATTTTATAAATTATAATAAAATATTTTTAAAAAATATTGATGTTTTAAAATTTTGTCTCAAAATTTATATATTAAAAAACTAAATTTATCAACAAATAAAATTATATCAAAACAAATTTATTAGCAAATAAAATTATATCAAAAAATTATCAACGATTACATATTTATAATAAAATAAAAAATGTTTCAAAGTGACAAATGTAATATATATATATATATATATATAAGAGAGAGGTCAACCCAACGAGGAATAAAAGAAGAAAAAGAGACCTGGGGTACTAAAGAGGTCAACCCAGCAAGGGAAAAAAAAAAAAAAGAAAAGAATTGAGATACTGTTTATCAATGTTTATTTACTGTGGAATTACCTCAGTTTTTTTAGTTACATGTATAAATATAATTTATAATGTATAATAATAGTAAATAATAAATAGTAAATAGTAAATAGTAAATAGTAAATGTTTTTTAATCGTTAGGAGTTAATGTTACGTACCACGTGCTTTCTTATGAAAAAAATTCTGGTGGCTGAGAATAAATGCCCTTGATCCTATGTGACTGCGATGGAATATGATTTCGACATTGAGTTTTTGTTTGAACTCATGGGACCCACAGTCCTTATCATAATATTTTTTATTTTTTTGGGTTCTTCTCTCGCATCACAGTCGTTACTTGAAATGAAAGCTCTCTCATTCTCCCACCAAAAATATTTCCACTTTGTCTTCAATTTTGACAACACTTTTTCATGGACAATAAAGTTCCTCTTCAAGGAATTTTAATGGATGGAGGGAGGTTGCTGGGGCACACAACTGGTTGATGGAAATGGAGTGTTCAATGTTGAAGGAGTAAAAAACTTCACGGGGAACACTGAATCGTCAGACTGTGATCTTTTTTTAATGATCTGTTCGAACAAACAAATTCGTTTTCTATTTTTGGATCGGACTAATTATCAATTTTACTAATCAGTAGAAATCAACTTTCTGTTGCTTGATTTATCTCTGTAGCTTTATGATCTGCCTATTAATGTTCTCTTTATTTATTTTTTATAGAAAAAAAATGATTTTTTAGTTACTTTTATCAACTTTCTCTCTTTTTATTTTTAATAGAAAAACGCCATTTTGCAAAAAGCTGTGGGAAATATTGAACTAATAAGTTGCGCTCTTTCATGGTAAGCAGAGAAGAGCACCCTGTTGAATCATCTCTTTTATACCAACTTCAGGGAGATGGATGGACGAGAAGAAAGGGTATTTGGATTGCAAAAAAGTAGTGGCATGAATTCACCATTTTCATGGATTTAGAGGGAACTGACAGCAGGGAAAGAGGCAAGCTCAATATATATATATATATATATACCGAGCTTCGTATTAATACATCTTTGCTGTCTTGCCGGTGGCTTGTCTAATATTGACATGTGGCATTCACCGTTTAATATGCTTCCATCATCATCTTCTTCCTCCAATCCTCTCTTACACGTCAGCAATACCCAACAATCCACAAAATGCCCGACCCAGTTCATCTTCGCCATGAAAAACCCATTTAAGCCAATATTTGTATCAAGGAAAACCATCACCTTCAATTCAAGATTTCTAAGATCCCAAATTCTTTCACGTTACCTTCAATCGGTAATGGCAACAACAAATGAAAATCAACAGATTGAATCAACGGTTGTTAGAAAACAAGGAGAGGAAGAATCGAAGAAGAAGACCTCTCCTCCGCTGCCACCGCCGCCCGAGAAGCCGGAGCCAGGAGATTGTTGTGGGAGTGGGTGTGCTAGATGTGTTTGGGATGTTTATTATGAGGAACTTGAGGAATATGACAAGCTTTATAAATCTAATTCTTCGAAATCTTAGCCTCCGTTGATTTAATGATGTTTGTGTTTGCGTGTTACAGATTTAAAGTTGTAGTTTTCTTGATCGTAAAAAAATTAAGAATTTGGATTTTAATTTAGGTTTGTGTTTCACGTATCTCTCACGTGTCCTCGGATGTTGTTCAACGGAAAAAAGGGTCTCGATTACAAACCCCCCCAAAAAAAAAAAAAAAGATTTATGTCGATCAACGCAAATTTTAGTAGTTATGTTTTCAGGAAGAATTTTACGGTGAAATCTTATCCTTTTGAACATTTGCAAGATGGGAAATTGATTGGGTTTCCAGTTTTTATTTTTTTATTTTTTTTTATGTTTGTGAAAACATGTTTTTGCAAGGTGCACGCTCTTGCGCTCGTGTGCGTGTTTTGTGATACTCGTAGAAGTCGGAGAATCTCGGTTTGTGGATCTATTGGATTACACCGAGGAGATTTTGACAGTATTCATACTCTTGAATATTTGATGTTTTTGAGAATGACACTGCATTTGAGAGACAAAGTTCCCTATTCATAAACATGTGAGTTTTGCTTGTTCTGCATTATAGTTGATGGATGTTTTTCAATTTGCCATGTTTTGCTTTAAACCATGGCACTTCTTTCTCCATTGTGGTCAAGAAAGTGTGAAACAATGCATTTAACTTTTTGGATATTGACATTTACTGCTTGCATGTTTTGAGCATTGAGGAATGGGATTGCAAGTCTTACAGGCTATAGTTTTGGTGTCCTACACCTTAATTACTGTAAGCGTTGGGAAGTGAGAAGTAATTATTATTACAAGCAAAATGAATGAAGCTGGAGATGTGATGTAGAACAGCTTTGGATTTGTGTCCCACAAGGAACTCGTAGTAAGCTAGGATTTTTTGTAATAATTATGATTGAATACGGACTTTTTTTTTTTTTTTTGAAGAAATAGGATAAAAAAATAACAGCTAGTTTGATCAGGCAAATTGAGTACAGAGAATGAATCTGCTAATTAAGTGTACAAATTGTTGAGGTGAACGAACCTAAAGGTTGGTAAGAAATTGCACACACGCAAGCATTCCGGTTTTCTGCTTATAGGAATCGCTTCCTATTTGAATATTTGAACTAGATGTTGAATATTACCTCCTGGTGGTGCCAAGACATTGGTCGGGAACATGCTGCCAGCAAGCCCCTTCTAGAGACAGTTTTTGAGGTACGATTTGCGATTTTCCTACAGCTAAGTCATTGTGAGTTCATATTATATGTGATGCTCCATTAATCTGTGTTGGTTAGTGACTCTACATTTCTTTTTCAACAGATATGATGCAGAGTCGATCCATTTCAATGAAGGCGTAAGAAAGGCAAAACGGGAGCAGTTGGAATTAAATGCATTGGATGTAAGGCCGTTGTGTGTGTTCATTTCCTTCTTTTCTTACCTTTTCTATTTCCTTATTCATATTGTCTCAATTTAATAGCTGCAGTGAAGTAAAATTTCTTTTCTGGTGTTGGATTATATATATATAGGACTTGAACCCAAAACCATAATCTCCTCTCTTTTGAGAATACCACTAAGCTAAAGGAGCATTGGTATTTTGCTGATATGTTGAAATTTATGTTAATTTGATCTCTGATTGTTTTTAAAATACTTGAACCGGACATGAAATTTGTTATTATTAATCTTTTTTTTTTTTTTTTTTTGAGATAAATATTTTATCTGTCTAGGTGTGAATTCTTGTGGTGTTCACTCATATCTTTAAGCTGTAATGAGTTATTGCATTATTATTTGTATGACATTAAACCATTAGAAGTGTTATAATTATATCTTACTAAATTAAAGTAAAATATTAAAAATATGCAAATTAACCACAAATTTATTAAAAGTTGTTACATGTTTCGCAATGACAGAAGCCATGACTGTTATATTATGCGTGCCATGGTTGTGACTTCAATCGCAATTTAAAACTATGGTTGAGATGATCTTGGTTTTTAGTTTCTTTTGCTTCTGTAGTTGGGTACCTCCTTGGTGCCTGCATTTATGTATTTTATTCGCTTTTACCAATAAAATTATTTGTTTTCTATATTGATCTACTTAAAACTGTGTCAAAATGATCAGAGAATCAAGTTTTGCTTGGTTATATAGGTGGTACACCATACTCATGCCATGACTATTTACGTGCCAAGTCAGTTGAATGTTTTTAAGACTATGCTGGAACAGTCACTGAGAAACGGAGAAGGATTGGCTGCATTATTTGTAGGTTCACTCGCATACTGATAGGCACTTATTCACTGCATTAAGTGTTAGATGTGTGTGCATTTTATCTTTTTCTTACTCTTCTGGATTGAAATAGAAAGTCTGCCCATGCTTTGTCGGGCAAATTATTTGATGCTGCTTAAGTTGCATTTACAGCATGCTTTGGATTGGACATGAAAACACAGATCGTGCTATATCATTGCTTAAGTTAAATTCAACAACTATTATTTCTTAAAGCAGCACTATGACTATGAACATAAGTTGTGATTGAAACCATCACTTCTTTTGTTGGAAATAACCCGAGTTTTCATAGCTATTAACAATGTTGTAGTTATGATCTTTTGGACCATTTCTCTATGCCACTTCATCTTTACCTGGAATCTCCTTAAAATGCTTAGAGACTATAATTATTATTTTTATTTGGTAATTGGAATTCTTCTAACCCTCCTTGATGTGCTCCAAAGAAGGCCTTGCAGCAGTTTGAATGTACATAGTTGGTTTTATCTTCTTATATACCAACAAAGATGTTATATCTCCTCCTCTATCTCTATAAACCATGAAGGCGTATAGGTCATGCACACATATTAAGATATGTTTCTACTTTCTTCGCTTCATCCTCCAACTGCAAGCCGACCAACTTGCACTCTGTTGAACAAACCTCAAGTAGTTAAAATTCTAGCTGGAACAAATTTTTCGTCCAATGATTAATAGTTCATCAAAAAAATTCAAAGCCTGATATTGAAGAAAAAAGGTGATCTAATGGCCAAGGACAGCTACAAGAAGTTACTCAAGGTGTTGCTATTAGAACTGACCATTCTGTGATGTTCAAACTTCAAATTACATGCATTGCTCGGTTAAAATTTGTTGCACACCTTTTCAGTTTCCTGTATTTGTTGAGCAACCTTAAAATCCTCCTCTCTCAGATGCAGTCATAAGACAGGCAAGTTGGGCATGCTTCAGAAGTCCGAGAAAAGCTTTGTCATGAAATTGAGACATTTGTGTCATCAGTAAAGAGTAACATGTTGTCAGAAAGGTTTGCCAAATATGAGGTAATTTTCTGGTTGATATTACAATCCATGAGTGTTTTTTGCCATGCATTTTTCTTAAACAGTCAAATTACCAAATCTTGATGCATGATTCATATGCAGAAACAACTCAGTGATGCACTCACCAGACCTTTAGAATCCCTGTTTGAAGTTTGCAAAAATGAAACAAAGTATCAAATAAGAATGCATTGAAAGCTCTAATTGACTGATAACGCTATAATTTTTTTTTTGTTTTAAAGCTGTTAATAGTCTTGAGCTGGACAGATCTACAATTGACACGAAGGAGTGATCTTTGAGGAAGCATGCAAGAAATTTAGTAGAGAAAAGGCAAGAGAAGAAGTAGGGAAACTCCTGTTCCGGAGTATATACTTTGCTCTTACTTTTTGTTCTCTCAATTGTCTGTTCTGCCAGTTAATTTTTGGATCATATTTCAGGTTCACAATGGTTTTCAATGATGAAGATGGTTTAAAACCAAGAGTTTGGACTGGGAAGAAGAAATTATAAAAGCCAGAAATGATTTACGATATGCAATAACTAGCTAGACTTTTAAACAATAGCTGCCTGCTAGTACTTGAGTGACATCTGAATATCTTGAAATAATGCCATTGCAGTCTTTAAAAATTCTATCAGTCATGGCAGCCATACGCCCAGACAAGCAGGAAGACAATATTGAGGAATTACTATTTTCCTTACTCATAGATGGAACTGTTGCTGCTGTTCCATCTTCCGAAGATAGAAGTGTAGGAGCTACCATGGACCCCCTTGCTGCAAACAAATGGGAAGAGGTAATAGATGATTGATATAATATCAATAAATTACACATGCAATGCTTGTATTCCATATATAAGCGCATACAGATCTCTTTCTATTTTCTAAATGGATTTTGCATAAAATCAAAATATGAAGCAGGTCTCTCTAGATGCTACTCTGCTCACACTAGTGCAGTGCAAGTCATTGTTCAAGCAGTTCATAGCATAGACCGAGTATGAAGTGACAAGCTATTTCCGCTCAGGTCCCTTACTGTATGATGCTTTTTCCTGCTATGGTACCCTTTTCCAGAATGTGTGTTCATTTGGAATTTGGTTGAATGTTTTATTTCATTTTAAGCTTAATTTGGCAGAGCATTTGGCTTATCATTGGCCAACTTCTATTTTTTACTGGATATAATTATGCACCAGTTGAAGTTTCTAATCAATCCTACCCAGTGTGCTTACATGCAGTGCTTCAATGTTTTCTTCAGGAGGCTCAGGAGTTGATATATAGGAGGCCATCTTTTCTTTGGAGAACTGCAGAAAATGCAGGGGCGGCAGCAGCAGGGACGGCAACAGGGGTGGCACTGGTAGCTGTGGGGCCAGCTGGTGCGGTAGGAGGGACAGTTGAGTTAGTTTTAGCAGCAGCTGCCACAGGAATGAGGCGAGTCATGGGTGGAAACAGCAGTAGATGTATGCCTTTATGCGCTGAAGGATTTATATGAGAATATCAATTCATATGTTAGGATATGGTGTCCAATTTCATGGATGTGATGCGTTCTGATGTGTTCTGTTGTAGCAGGAAATTGCTTGTGTATACTTTTGTATTGATCAGATTGAAGGGCTTATGGAAATCTTGGGCTACAACAATCCTGTCTAGTAGGAAAATAACAGTTTATGAGATGAAAGAAAGCTTATAGGTTGAGAGCCTGCTGACTGTGGGCACTTGGCTTATTTCTCTCTCGAACTAAGTCAGCTTTTGTGAACTAGATGTTATGAAAACTTTTCGTATTACTCTCGTAACACTGACAAGTCTTGAATGGTTTGTACAAATAAAAGCCTTTTCTATTTACAGACTTCCTCCTAAATAAATAGTTATGATCACTATACAATGAATTTTTTAAAATTTTCCTATCTAGATATTAACAAGAAACATTTTAGAATAACATTTATAGCCTTTTCTATTAATTAATAATTACAATGTTGTTAAAATTAAAGTGAAATTATGGATCACATTCGATCTCTAACAATAATATCGTTAACTGTGGAGGGTGTTATGTATGTTTTTTAGAATGACATATCCATTTGTCCAAAATTATTGGTTTTTTAAAAAATTATATAATTTTTTTTAATGGTTTGCTTTATAATTCTTTTGGCGTCAAGTTAATACAAATGCCAATTTCACAATATATATGGTATTACATCTTTATTTCACCATATATATTTACCAACTAATTTCATATTTTTTTGCATGAGTCAGGACATGATTTTAATTTTATGACCAAATTACCAATTTTCTGAGATAGAAAATATTCAAAACTTCTCATACCTTGCTTCAAAATAAACAAATGCTGCAAAATAAATTTCTTTATGGTCCTCATATTTAAAAAAATTATATTTAATTCCTATATTTTTCACACTAAAAAATATTCAAGGAATCAACTTATATTCTTCAAACTATGAAGACTAACTGATTACTTCACTAAATATACAAGGACTAATCTATAATTCACAAGCAAAAAATTACTGCCCAGTAAAAAAATCAAATCTAATTATTTAAATCATCATTACATCATCATATAGATCCCAAAAAGTAAAAAATAAAAAAACACAGAAAAAATCACGCAAAACAAGGTTCTTTTCTTTTCAATCTATCCTTGGACTAGGAGAAGCATACTGCAAGAAAAAAGACAGGAAGAAAGAAGAAGCCGTTGCTTCATCTCTACTCTATTTCTTGCCTCCTCTACTCTTTCTCTCTCTAAAACCTTTAAATCTCTTCTTTTCTTCCTCTCTCTAAGATTTCTCTCTCTACAATCCATCAAAGTTTTGTCTTTAAATTAGAAGATCGGTGAGTAAATAAGAGCAAAAATGGGGCAAGAACAAGATTGCTGTAGCACACAGCTGATTGATGCAAACGGGGAGTTTAATGTGGAAGGACTTGATAACTTCGCGAAGATCACGAAACTGTCACAGTGTGGTCTTTCTTATGCGGTTGTTGCAATCATGGGCCCTCAAAGCAGCGGTAAATATATGATTTTTTAGTGGGATTTGAAGTTCACCTTATTAGATATTTGGTTTTAGTGGTAGTTTAGATTGATTTTGAAAATGGGTTTTTTATTTTTTTATTCTGTTATTAGTTATAGTAGTGAATTTAAGTTCTTTTGATTTGTTAGTTTGTTGTAGTGGTTGTTTTTACTTGAATGTCAAATGTTTTTTTTTTTCTCGTGCTTAATTTTGATTTTTTTTTTTTTTTTTGTGTTTAATTTATTTTTAACTGTATTTTCCTGGAACTTAATTTATTCTGTCTAAACAACGATGAGTTCCGATAGTTTTTTTTTAAAAAATAAATAAATAAATCCGAAATATTTTGCTGTTCTTGTTGTTTCTTTAGTTTCGTGGAAGTTGAAATTTGAGAGTTTTTGAGTTTGATTGAATATTCCTATTGTTTGGTTATGTAAAGTTATGTGAAAACTAAACCTTTAGAACTCAATTCTGTTGTTTCATTAATTAACGATTTATTCAGTTGGATATTTTTGAGTAAATCCAAATTGTTGTGCTCATTTTTGTTGCATCCTTTTAGTTAACTGAAGTTTGAAACTTTCTGTATATTAATGTAGTAAACGGCAGTTGTAAACTGGATTTTATTTAATTGAAATCTTTTATGCAAGAATTACACTTAAGATCTATCTTGAAATTTGTTTTAGTGATGCACAATAATGACACTAGTTACAGTTAGAACAGTCTGTTATGCATAGGCACGTGCATGTGTAAACACAAAATATATGGTTTAATTTGTGTTCTTTGTGAACAGGGAAGAGCACGCTAATGAATCATCTATTTCGTACAAAATTCAGGGAGATGGATGCATTCAGAGGAAGGTTAGATAATTTTAGTTTAGCAATTTTGTAGTTCTCGAAGGGAGAATTATTGCTTTCTGTATCTCTCTCTTTTCTTTTGTGTTCATCATGAGATGAAATGTTATATAATTATGTTTCAGGAGTCAAACAACCAAGGGAGTTTGGATGGCAAAGTGTGTTGGTATTGAGCCTTTCACAATTGCCATGGATTTGGAGGGAACTGACGGCAGAGAAAGAGGCGAGGTAGTGAGTTTTTGTGTCGATATCTATTGTTTTAGCTTTGCTTTGCTAATTGGGTGGCTTGTATAGTCTTTAGTTGTTGCCTTTTCAGCTTGATTAGATTATTGCCTATGTTCCTTTTTGGTTCTGAAAATTTAGTATCACTAGGTGCTAATGGATTTGACAATTGATTAGTGGCTTCATGTAGTCAATGTAAGTCTTAATTTCAATATTATGTCAAGCATATAGAGTATTATGGTGGCAGCTTATTATTTTCAAAATTTGTGAGATTAGAAGCTGAGTTGCATTTGCCATAGTTTGTAAATTTTGAGGAATGTTGAGGATGAACTATGATGTATGGTTCTATAAGCTGCAGCGTTTGATGCTTGTGGAAAGTCAAATGAAGTAACTAGAAATCTTAGCTAGCGAATCTGTTGAATGCATGCTGTAGGGAATTTTTTACCCTCCTTCTCTTCTGAATATTGCTGTTTTCAGGATGACACTGCATTTGAGAAACAAAGTGCCCTCTTTGCTTTGGCAATTGCAGACATTGTACTAATAAACATGTGAGTTTATTTTATTTTTATGCTGACCATTATAGTTTTGGATGCTTTTTCTGCCTGATAAACTTGGTGGATGCCTGGACCTGGCTGCTTTTGATGGTGGCTTTAGACTGTCAAGCTAGTTAGCCCACAATATTGTTATCAATTTATTGGATAATATATTGCCCCATTGCTTGCTCAGGAGTGACATGGTTGAAACTGATATGTCTGGATATGATCATCAGATTCTTTGTTGAACAAAATCCAGAATGGTTATGCAGTTGTTATTATATGTATGCATGTGCATAGTATACAGCTAGGAAGTGTAACTTCCCTTTGTTTTGACTCCTTTTCAATTTCCCATCTTGTTCTTTTTCGCGTCGATCCCCTGTAGTGGTTAAAAAATGTGTGAAACTCCATGGCTAAAAGAGCAGTGGACTTTTTGATATCGGTACTTTACTGCTTTAACACATGTTTTAGTGATTTGGGCATCTCTTTGCAAGCTGTATGTGCTATTGTTTTGGTGTTCTATTCCTTGCTACAAGTGCTGGGTGAGAGGGGTTGAATGTCACAGACCAAACAGATGAAGCTGGAGATAAAAGGAAGACGTCCTTAACAAAAGTGAAAAGTGCATACTGCATTTAACCACTTTTAGCTAGTTTTGAAATTAATGAATTTTGCATATTACATACAAAATTATTTTAGTATGTGCTGGGCATGGGCTAGGTCTAAAATCTGGGAAAAACTACTTTGTTTGGCCTTCCACAGTCTGTAGTTGTTCTAAGATGACTCACTCAGCTGTTGCCTGGCTTGTTGCTGATTTTTAACATTACAATTGAATAATCTAGTGGGATTCTGTTCTGTTAAACATGTTTCTGATTCTCATTTGATGCTTGAGTGAGGAGGAAAATGTGTCTGATTTTAATACAAGGTAACCTTACTAATGAATTTAATTTGATTAATAGAGGAGCAAGTGACTACATCCAGCCAAAAAAAAAAAAAAAAAAAAGAGAGAGAAGGAAATTATAGATGTGGAATTCCGAATCAGCCTTTGTTACATTAAAATATATTCATGTTATGCAGTTAAAGATTGACAAGGCACAAACATGCGTTACTAAAGTTTCCTCTTCACTGGGATCTGCTCCTTATTAACTAGATTCTGAATATTACTTATAGGTGGTGCCATGACATTGGTCGGGAGCAGGCCGCCAATAAACCCCTTTTAAAAACAGTTTTTCAGGTACTGTTTGTCATTCCCTGTGATTACCATATTATTTTGGGTTCCTTACATGCAATAATCTATTTCTGTCCTGTACCTAGGTCATGATGCGTCTATTCAGCCCACGCAAAACAACACTGCTCTTTGTTATACGTGATAAAACAAAGGTCTGAATTTTGCCCATATGAATCTTTTAAGATGATATACTTTTGCTCCTTGAATATGCCTGTTTTTGTCCAATTCTGAATCTGTAACCTCTGTGTGTCCATGTAGACTCCTTTTGAATATTTGGAGCCTATTTTAAGAGAAGATATTCAAAAGGTACTTTGTGCATTTCTTATTTTCTGGCCATGCATTTCATCTTCTGTTTGATTATTTTGTTTCTTTTAGCTTCTTCAGTGGTCATAATTTCTGCAGATATGGGCTGCAGTGGCGAAACCTGAGGCTCATAAAAGTACTCCTCTCAGCGAATTTTTTAATGTATGAAGATAACTCTCTCATTTTTTAGTCTTTCTCATGTTTTGACAAATGGACTTCATTTCTCATATCGATTTCAATTGGCATAAACTCTGATTTCTGGCTTCTGTTCATTGGCACAAAGGTGGAGGTCATTGCTTTGTCTAGCTATGAAGAAAAGGAGGAACAATTTAAAAAGGAGGTAACCTGCTACCATTATAAGAAAAAATAACAGTTTATCACCCACAAAACTTAGATTTGTCATATATGATGGTTTTTCAACTTTGGATTCTGCTGCAGTGTTTTTCTTTTCCCTTTTTAAAGTCTTGTTTAATGATAAGTAGCTTGTGTATGTTTACCAAATTGGTGGAGTCCAAAGTTAAAGGCACTGTGACATTATTGTCAAATCTTTTATGTATGATTCCAATTCACAGATCATCATGGGGCTGACTTATTCTGAAGAAATTTAGTAAAATAACCAGAGGAAACCACCACTTGATTGCATAGCATTTGAGTTTACATTTGGTAGACTAATTTGATGTTGTATACAGGTTGCTGAACTGAGACAGCGGTTTTTTCATTCCATTTCTCCAGGAGGTCTTGCTGGTGATAGGCGGGGAGTTGTCCCTGCTTCAGGGTTTTCTTTCAGTGCACAGCAGATATGGAAAATTATAAAAGAGAACAAGGATCTGGACCTTCCTGCTCACAAGGTTTATTATTTACCATTTCCTATGCGAACATAAATTGTTAGATTTTCATATGTGAAATATGTTGTAAATTTTGCTTATCAGGTGATGGTTGCGACTGTTCGGTGTGAAGAAATCGCCAACGAGAAGCTTAGCTGCTTGTCGTGTGATGAGGTTACTGAAAATTTAATCTGATAATTGTGGGTATTGTGAAATTTATTATCAAGAAGTGCTAAAATGATTTCTTGCAGGGTTGGTTGGCATTGGAAGAAGCTGTTCAAGCTGGTCCAGTGTCAGGGTTTGGGAAAAAACTCAGCTCTATTTTGGAATTCTATCTTTCAGAGTAAGTTTATATCTTGCTATTATAAATAGTGATGAAAATCTCTAAATGTTCAATGTTCAACAGATTCAAAAATTTCTAAATCAGCTTATCAGTATATAGTGTTTTATTCCAAATGTTCTCAATTTCAATAGATTTATCTCACACCAGAATATTTCCTTATGCTTCTTGTCAATTTGCATCATCTGATGTTGTGACTTTTCTTTTATACTAGATATGAAAATGAGGCGATCTATTTTGATGAAGGTGTAAGAAATGCAAAAAGGAAACAGTTGGAATCAAAAGCATTAGATGTAAGGCCTCAATGACCGTTTTATGTTTTTTAATTTTTTTTTTTTTTTCCCCTATTTGCTTAGTTCCTCAATTTTTGTTGTCCCCAGTAGGATGATGTAAAATCTCATACATGATGGAAGGTTTTAGGATGATATAGGGTCTAATCGTTTGATCTCACCTTTAACCTCCTCACATCTTTGTAGTTCGTGGATGCTTTCATCTATGTAAAAAATATGGTTCTTATATTATTATATTTAAATTAGTTTTAAATTATCGAAGGTTCAGAGTTTCAGTTTTTTCTTTTTCTTTTTTCCTTAGGTGGTCCACCATGCTTATGTTACCATGTTGGGACATTTACGCTCTAAAGCTCTTGAAAGTTTTAAAACAAGGCTGGAACAGTCATTGCACAAAGGAGAAGGATTTGCTGCTTCTGTTCGTACCTGTGCTCAATCTTGCTTGCTTGAGTTTGATAAAGGATGTGAAGGTATGTGTGGTTAATGGATTCATGCACATATATTGGTAGGTGCTCATCGACTAAAGTGTTGGATGTCTGAGCCTATTATTTTTGCGCCATGAAAACAGAATTTCTGCCATTGCTTTCCTAGTATTATTTGCAGCTGCGCTAGTTACAGAGCATGCTTTTGGATTGGTATGAGAAACATTCACTTCGATAAATCATTGTTAAGCTAAATTCAACAACTACTACAGACAGAAGCAGGATTTTACGTGCATAGGTTGCCCAGATTTAAACCCTCGCCTTTTGATTCTGAGTGTCAGAGCTGTTGGATTGCTCAGCTAGTCCTCTTAACCAGTCTATTCATATCCACGAGGGTCTCCTTAAAATGCTCAAAGGCTACAGTTTAAATTTCTATTTGATGAACTGTGGAATTTTATAACTGCTCTTTGTGTGCTGTCCTGTAAGTGTGGAAATAGTTTTATCCTAGAAAAGAATCTCATTCTTCTCTTTTGGACTTCTAAAGATCTTGCCATGCACATTAAACTATAAAGTCATATAGCTAGCTTCTGTACTTGAACAAACAAGAAGTTATTGAAACTGTGACTGCAAAACAAAAAGTAGTCGAATACTTCATTGAAGAATTTCAATGGGTTAGACGAAAGAGAAGTGGCAAAGTGAAGGGCAGCTGTACCAACTTATTTAAGCTGTTGATACTAAAAGTTCTAGAACTAAGCCTTCTATGATTCTTCAAACTTCGTATTTATGCTTGGCAAATATCTGTTATCCACTTTTTCTCTTTTCTGGATTTGGTAACTGACACATGATATCCTGTTCCCTCAGATGCTTCAGTTAGACAGGCTAATTGGGATGCTTCAAAAGTACGAGAAAAACTTCGTCGTGATATTGAGACACATGCATCATCAGTATGCAGCACCAAATTGACTGAAATGATAGCCAAATATGAGGTATTTTCTTGGTTGATGTTAAAATCCTTGAGTATTCCAAACTGTTGCACTCTGTATTGAAACAATAACAAAATCTTGACGCAATGATCTTGCAGAAACAACTTACTGATGCACTTGCTGGACCCGTGGAAACCCTACTTGAAGCTGGCGAAAGTGACGCATGGGCTTCAATAAGAAAGCTTCTTAAACGTGAGACTGAGGTTGCTGTATCAGAGTTCTCAACTGCTGTTGCTAGTTTTGAGTTAGATAAGTCTACAATTGACACAATGGTGCAAAAGTTGAGGGAGTGTGCAAGAAACGTAGTGGAGAAAAAGGCTAGAGAAGAAGCAGGGAAAGTTCTGATCCGCATGAAGGATAGGTGCAGTGCCTGATTGTTGCTTATATTTCTTCTTCAATTCTCGTTTTCGTTGGTTAATTTAGATAATGTTTCAGGTTCGCAATGGTTTTCAATCATGACAATGACTCGATGCCAAGGGTTTGGACTGGGAAAGAAGACATTAGAACAATTACAAAGGACGCACGCTCTGCGGTAATCTACCTAGATTTCTTAATGAATGGTTGGCTGCCTTTCATCTTTGAAGAACATCCAAATATCTTGCATCTGTTTTGTTGCAGTCTTTGAAAATTCTATCAACCTTGGCAGCCATACGCTTAGACGAGAAATCAGATAATATTGAGAATATACTGCTCTCCTCGCTCAGTGATGGAGCTGTTTCTGTTCCATCTTCCAAAGGTAGAAGTATAGGAGCCAGTAGTGACTCCCTTGCCTCAAGTACATGGGAAGAGGTAAACAGTTGGTGCATATTAGATGTTGGCAACTGTATTTGTATATATCTCTTATCTATTTTCAAACTGTTTCTCATGAAATCAAATATGAGGCAGGTCTCTCCAAAAGCTACGCTGCTTACACCAGTCCAGTGCAAGTCATTGTGGAGGCAGTTCAAAGCAGAGACTGAGTATACTGTGACCCAAGCTATTTCTGCTCAGGTACCGTATACTATATATTTCTTTTTTCACTTATTGTATTCTTTTATCACAATTTGTGTTCATATAGGAATTTAGTTGAATTCGCAGTATTTAACTGTGTTTTATTTCTTAATCAAATATGTTCAACTTAATTTGGGGCATATTTTCAGTTTTGCATGTTCTATATTCTATTTTATGTGCCAATTAAAGTTTATATGCATGTATTAGGGCATCAAAACACAATGTGTAACTCATGCTCACTGAGTCAGACACACATGTGCAGACACACAGACAAACTCACTCTTTTCAGAAACTAAGGATATATTTTATTCATTTATTAAGTCTTATATCCTACAAGCTATCTAGCACTCTTATATGCAATACATGTGTTTCTTCAGGAGGCTCACAAGCGAAGTAATAACTGGTTACCTCCTCCATGGGCAATAGTGGCAATGGTTATTCTTGGTTTTAACGAATTCATGCTTCTGTTAAGGTACTCGCTTCAAACCAAAAGTCTTTTCTTCCCCACAGTTTATGTTCTTGCACAATTTTGTTTCTTTATTCTCCAGTTGACTGGAACATTTATTTGACCTTTTTTGCTAATGAATCAGGAATCCACTTTACCTCATGGTTCTGTTTGTTGTATATTTACTTTCAAAAGCATTATGGGTTCAGATGGACATCACAGGACAATTTCAAAATGGCGCTGTAAGTTTGGAAAGAAGAAAAAAAGATTTATTATTCTCTTGTTAGCTATGTTGACTAGAGCATATGTTAAGTACATGGTTAAAAGGGGATAAAACTTTATCATGCGTTTGTCTATTGATTGGTCTTATTTATTGTGATTAGAGGATTTAACTCTAGAACTATGCATGGACATGGAAATGGAAATCAATAGCGTATATAAAAATATATTGTTCTTAAAACTTGTGTAGGGACTGTGCTTGCTCCCTGCATATTAAATGCTGCCACTTCTCTCGAGTTTGTGATAATGTGATTACAAATAGTTACATGTAAAGATTACTAGTGCTTGAACAAAATTCTGACATAGTAGAATTGGACTCAAGTTCTTGTGTCAGGATATTTACCTTTCCATGCACAACTTGTTATATTGAAGCTGAGCTTCCATTCATTATTATGGTTAGTCCTAACTTGGAGGCAATAAGAGAAATAGCTGTAGTTTATGATAAAACAGTGTTCTCGATGGCTTTATTTGGAACTAACTTTTTTCCTAGTATTAAAAAACTATTTTCCTCTCTTTTCATATGCAAAGATTCCGTGCCTCATTTCTTTGTTTGGTGTTGCAGTTGCCAGGCATATTATCCATTTCTTCAAGGGTTCTTCCTACTGTTATGAATCTTATGAGGCGACTTGCAGAAGAGGCTCAGGGACATCAAACTCCTGAGGCCCCAATGCAACAGTCATATAGTTTTCAGAATATAAGACATCAAACTCAACAGAATCCAACATCAAGTACAATACCCGAGTCTTCTGTATCATCATCCTGCATTTCATCAACTGACAGTGAACCTGAATACTCAAGTCCAAACTTGACGCATAGGCGAAGTACAAAAATTTCAGAGGAAGAATTTTCTTGATGGAAACTGACCTTGTGTAAAATTTGTGCCAAAGTCGAGGAGAGAAATAGGCTAAGCCTTTCTATACCCTTTCAGACAGGCAAAAAGAAGACAGAAAGAAAAAGAGAGGTTCGGAGGGTGAGAAAGGCATTGAGTTATTTTGGCATACAGGGAAGTTGAGTTATTTATATATGTAGCAATAAGTAACCCTGTGTTAAAGACTGCTAGACTACGAATGGGCGGCAAATCTGTATTTCACTATATTCTTCTATAGATTTCTAATGAGAGTTAAATCAGTTCGTTTATATTTTCATTAACTTCGCTACTAAGCCACCTTGTTCAGCCTTTAATTGCCCTGATTTCTCCTAGATAGTGCAAATGAACAATGTATAAGAAGAGCTTCTCAGGAAGGCCTTATCGGTTTGTTAATGCATATAGAAAGCCAAAGTACAGATTTGTGGTTGCTTTTCACTAGATTTGTCTATAACAACTCTTTAAAATATAAACATTCATTGACACTTATTTGGTTTCGTTTTAAATATATATTATATAATAAAATAATAGATAGAGAGATCTTTAGTTCTTTTGGTTTGTTGCAGTAACTATATATATATATATATATAAGTATTTTAAGTGAAAAATTGTTCGCACCCATAATGATTTGGATGGTAAAAAAAGAAAAAGAAAAAAAGGCATACTTCTTTTCTAAGAGTCTATCATGAGGATAGAAACTTCTTAAATTTGTCACTTTGGTGATATCTTATAGATTTTTATTTTCTTTTAAAAATATAATATCTTATAAACTACTGGATTTATTTTTTTTTCTGTTTTTTTGATAATAAACTATTGGATTTTATAACCTCTTATAAATGATACTATTTTGGAACGATATATGAAGTGTAAAAGTCTGAAAGTTATAACTTCATTTTTGATGCATCAAGTATCTAGATAATGACAGGAGTTTAATTTGTAAGGATTAGAAGAAGCAAGTTACAGATGCATAAATGAAGTGTAAAAGTTACGAAGGATCATGATGTACGTATAAAAGATTCACACTTTTTTGGGCAAATTATCAACAAGAGCACTAGTATATATTAGTCTACTCACCATCCATTTTTAACCAAGATGGCTCATAGTGTGACAAGTTTAGTTGTATTGACGCTAGCTTGTGGGTTCATGTTGGTTACCTCAAGCCCAGGAGCATATCTTAAGAATATTGCACCAAGTCCACCATCAATTGAGCCAACTCCTAAGAAAGAGCTAAGTCCCTCATCCATCGTTCCAAGTGCACCACCATTGCTTGTGCCGACTCCTAGGAAGGCACATCGTCTCCTATCAGTCGAGCCAATCCCTAACAGGGCACCAAGCTCCTCTTCCGTAGTGCCCACTCCTGAAAAAGAACCAAATACATACTGGATTGTTCAAACTCCCCCACCTTTTTCAGGTCCCTTTGTCGAGTTATTGTTTCCATGTCATTATGACTAGTAAGTATGTCTGAATGGAAATTCATTAACAAATGAGTAAAAACTCTAAGTTGTTGCTCGGTAATAAGAAATAAAATTATGAAAATATAAATGAAAGTTTTATTTTAATTAATCATGTAGGTATTTGGCTGAAAGAAATAAAGAGGGAGAATAATAATTAAAATGAAACATAGGTTTTGTTTTTATGAGAAATGCGAATAAAAACAAGAAATGCGGATGATATTTTTTTCTTAAAAAAAAAAAATATATAATTACTATTATTACTACCAGAACCACCATCCCTATCTCCTTTTTCTCTTATTTTGTTATCGACGCCACCGGCACTTCTATCATCACTACATTAATTACTACTGCAATCATTTTTTTTTTTATCATTATAGTTGATGAAATTATTTTTTTAATCATTTTTAAAAAATATATTAAAAATTTTAAATTTTATTTTAATTCGTTATCACGATTCCAAATATAATATGGAATAAAAATATCAATTTTATTTCTGTATTTTTATTCTAGATCTTTTATTTTTAATCTTAACCAAATCACATTTAGAAAAACAATAACTAAATGATATAGTGAGTAAGGCCACTGTTACAAGCACAACGTTACTATTCCAACCAAGCCTCGATCAGATAAGGATTGAAATAAAATGAATGGTCCATGACTGCTCCTTCACAAACTATAAAAATCTCAAAAAATCCCCAAAACACACTGCCAATTCCCCATCTCATTAGTCACTTTGAAAATGATTCTACTTTTACATTTACATTTATATTCTAATCTCTCTTTCTTTTTTTTAAAAAATTGGCCTAATAACTTTAGACTTCCCTTCACATGAACAATTCAATTCTTGACGAATCATTCACTATTTTTTGGATAATTTTTTTTCCTTCATACAAATTGTACCTATTACTTCATCTTCTAAAAAAAATAAAAAAAAATTAAATACAAAGTCTTTGTTCATATAATATGCAGCAGATGATCATGTATCATCTTCACGTTCATCTAAATAATGAAAATAAATTTACAACTTTATAATTTATATATTTAATATTGATTATAATATGTTAAGCAATGACATAATATCATGCATCAAAAAATAGAAATTTACACTTGAAGAGCCATATCCTTTACAACCAACACTTAAATTGCATCAAATTTCGTATATATAAAAACATCAAATTACATCATTAATTTAATAAAATTTCATCATGCCATATATATTATTATTCTATAAAAGTTTAACATGGAATTAATGCCATTTGTTATCAAGAATTCCCGTAATCCTTAAAATTAACATCTATAAAAATCTGATCAAGGCACACAGACAATATGGTAGCATTTGAAGCCTAAAGCAAGGCTTTTTTTCTTAATGGAGTCAAGGCTCATAGCCTCTCGCGTCAAGCGTATCTTTGCCAATCCAACAACTACAAAAATAACGTGCAAAACAATCCCCAAGAAACAAACCAATAAAAACATGATCTAAACCAATACACAAACTTATGTGACTGCTTGAAGTTTCCCAATCCACAATAAAATAACATAAAAACAATAAAAGACACACATAACAGATCAAAGACATGAACTTACTTCAAGGTTGTAAAAATAGTCCATGTCAATTTATTTTTTGAAGTCAGGGTAAATAAAAAAAAATTTATGACATGACAGCTGAGTTTTCTAGAATTTAGAGTAATTTATCGGCTGTCAAAAATTAATACTCTAGTAAAATAAAATTTCTCTTCAGTCGTAATCCTTAAGTCTAAACGACCTCCTCTTTTTGCTAGTAAATTTGTCTTCGGTTGTATGTAAAATTATTGCTCAGAGTGACAGAGATCGATAAAGTTAAACATTGCATTAATTTTGGGGAAAATTTCATACAAAGTGGTGCCGTCTCGGGGAGCTGTACCAGCTTCAGTTTTTTCTATTGATGCAAAAGAGATATGGAAAACCATAGAAGATGACAAGCACCTAGATCTTCCTGCTCTCAAGGTTCATTAAAAAACTATTTTATTGTGTAAAGTTATTAATCTTCAGCTTTTCATATATATATATATGAACATATTTCTCCATTTTGTTCATCAGGTGATGATTGCCACATGCAGTGAAATGTGAAGAGATTGGCAAGGAAAAGTTCGAAAGCTTTACCCGCAATACGGTATTTAATTGCATCTATTTTGCTGTTTTTTATTTCTTCATATCAAATTTACACCTCCCATTAGGAAATTTAATAATAGTAGGAAGTAGTAATTTGACTTCTTCTAGGAATGGTTGGCATTGGAAATTTTTTTTAAAGCTGGTAGAGTATCAGGGTTTGGGAAAAAACTAAGCTCTATTTTGGAATAGTATCTTTCACTGTAAGTGCACATCTTGCTCACAATCCTAACCAATGAAGCTACCTACCTTCATACGTCTGTGTATTCAATGTTCAAGAAAGAATCAAAATGTTCTAAATAAGTATTATCACTGCATGACTACGTTCAAAACTTCCTCATTCTTAGTAGCATTTTCACACCAAAATTTCTTAGCATGCACCTTGTCCCAACTTGATTCCAAATGTCTATTTTTTCTCATGGATTCTGCATGTCCTTTTCAATAGATGATAAGGAGACGAAAGATTTTGAGGAAAGTGTAAGAAATGCAAAACGACAACAGTTGAAATCAAGAGCATTGGATGTAAGGCTTAATGTGTAAACTTTCGTTCAGCTTCTGTATTTTGTCTAGATTTATGGACTTTGACCTTCTTAAGTTTCTGGTGTATTGTGTAGGTGGTATACTGGGCTTATGCTGCTATGCTGGAACATCTATCTTCTAATACACTTAAAAGTTTTAAGATTAGTCTGGGAAAAGCACTGAACAAGGGAAAAGGATTTGCAGCTTCTGTTCGTACTTGTGAGCAGTCTGGCATGCTCGATTTTGGCAAAAAATATATATATATGTGAAGGTAATTGCGATCTTCTAGATTGTAGATCACAAAAAAAAAAAAAAAAAAAAAGGTTGAATGTGCTCTTTCTCAAATCGAAAAATTCTGAACTTTATTTGCTGAAACTTTTTCAGTTTATCATTTGACATTTCTATTTTAATTTTTTTTATGACAGAAATTTTCTATGCTTCTAAACTCAAGAAGCAACAAACCATGGATAAAAGATAGGCACGAGGACACTCTTTTTATAAACGAAGAATGTATTCTATGCACCGGTTAAAGTTTCTGTTCTGGAATCCACCCAGCACAGCCCTCACATAATGCTTGGTGTTTTTTCCAGAAGACTCACGCCAAGTACATCAAAGCACGGAGAACTGTGAAATGGATAGCTGGGGGAGTGGGTTCAGTGGTGGGGCTAGGTGTGGGGATAGTGGTGCGGCAACAGGGATGGTGGATCCATACACGGCATTTGCAGCAGGGAACAGCTAGCAACAACTGGGATTATTTATGGGACTGCGCATGATGACAATGACGATGAGTCTGAGTGTTGATACTTCTGCTACATATATCTTATAGTGCATGTCTGAGATTTCTCTGTTTTGTAGGATTCTTGCTGATAGGCAGTCAGCAGCTTTTGAGTAAAATCCTCACTGCTGTTGAAGCTAAATTAATGTAAAATTAATATATTTTAGTGGTTCTCATCTCAAGGTTTAAGATATATTAATGCTAATTTATTACTTGGTTGTCGATTTGAAGATTGGGATGTGAGTGAAGTTAGACAACGAAAGGATGCAGAAGAAGTCATTGGGGCTTGTGTTTGAAAAAAGAGTAAGACCTTTTCGAGAGATGAGGACAATGAGGTACTGCATTTTCTATCATGTACAATGATTGATGAAAGATCAACAACCTCAACTTTACTTTGACTGCTCTTCTTGAAGGGCTTGTGGGGACGGTTGTGTACAGTTTAGACCATTTTGCCTAAGCATAGTCTGTTATTCTAAGGTTGTACTGTTCTGTATTTTGAACCGATAAGTATTAATATCTATCTATCATCTATAAATGCATAAACATTACTATATGCATCGATCATCTCCCAAATTACCAGGACCATTATAAGATGGGCATTATTAATTTAGAATCCTTGGTAGAATAAGAAGCTACGCATTTAAAAAAAAAAAAAATGCATGCCCGGTCTATAAAGAAATTAAGCAGCTTAGCTTAGGCTTAACAAGTCTGAAGAATGACCAAGTAAATTAGTCCAATGAGTTGATTAAAGCAGAGACGCAATGTCCCAGCAAATGCTAAGAATCTCTCAAACACAACACTCTATGGGTATTTTACCGTGCCAAAGTGTGTTCTGCAATTACTCTGTTTTAAAAACATGTCATTACTTGAATTGCTTTGTTTCGGTCGGAGTTATGACTCATTCCTAAAGATACCTATAAATATTGTTAGGTTATCTCACATCTTTTGTGAAAAGGATTGAGTATTTAGTTATAGGTATGAGAAAAAGTTTCACTCCTTGTGCTAGCTTTTGGGGTTATAAAAGGTCTTAGTAGCACCCAACATGTGTAAAATATATATATAGAGAGAGAGATTATTATGTTATCTCACATCGACTGTGAATGGGGTTGAATGCTTAGTTATAAACGTAAGAAAACGTCTTACTTTATAAGCTAGTTTTTGGCATTGAAAACAATAACTTCGAACTTAATTTGTTATAACATTTTCAATATATCATTTGCCATGTTCAATTTCATATGCCTATTAAAGTTTCTATACTTCTAAACTTAAGCACCGAACCAAGAATATATTTCATGCCGATCGAAGTTTCTTATGACTTGGAATTTTATCCAGCAGTCTACATGCAATACTTGGGGCTTTCACGGATGCTCACAGGCAAACTCCCAATGAAATTTTGATAGGTCATGCAGCTGGGGCAGTGGTGGCGAGAGGGGGAGTAGTAGCGGGGCCTATTGCAGGAGTTGCGGTTTTGAATAGAGCGATGAGGTGACGACGACTGTAATAATAACAAATCCGGACTTTTTTTTATGTTCATCATAAATCTGACTGGGACATTTGATATTTATATGACTAATAATCCATGCAATATGCACAACTAGTTTTGGACTAATAGTTGCGTATACATACAGATTTCTTAATAAAATAAAGTTTCAATTTTAGTGACTCTAAAATTCTGTAGCGATTATACAAGAGAAGAAGAATATTCTTATTTTGTAGCTCAAATGCCTAATTTCTGCATAGAGATAGTGTTGAGTCAGTTTTCATAATACATTCTTTTAATTTTTTTTTTTAGAATAATTAATATTTAATTGTGCAAATGTTAGTTAATCCTGTTAGTGCCACAATCACTACAAGAGACACCCAAAAACTAATGCTAAGGGAGACCAAGTCCATTTATAGAATATTTATGTGATCACTTTCTCGATTTTTTAAATGAATTGGAGTCTAAATTTTTAGGATTAATTTTTTCCATGCTGCATGGTCTAACTATCATTATCATTAAGTGGTACATGGTTTTAAATAGCAGATGAAGTTATAAAAATAATTATGATTATGATTGTGGATCATGACTTATTACGATAGTAAAATAATCATTGTAACAATTAATTTTGTGAATGCATTAATAATTATTTATAAACTTATTCTAATTCATATATTTCAAATAATTTTATTAATTGAGCAAAATAATAACAACATCTCTAACAATTTAATATTATATCACAATAGTTGCATTTATCATTAAAAATTAAAAACACTTTTAATAATTTAATATCGCATAAAAAATAATATTACAACTTTAAGATGCTGTAATAAATACATTACAAGTTCAAAGCGTAAGATTTGAAGTGTGTAGCATGATTTTACGTGTGTTGCACTTGAAAGAGTGTATAATAAATTCAAATTTTTGACCAAAAAGAAAAAAAGAATGACTTATTGTATCATAAAAGCAAGTAGTTTATATTTTTTAAATCATTTTGATACGTTCTTTAAAAAGTAGATAGAAAATATATGAATTAAGCTTTCAATAACCATTTTAGTACAAAAGAAATTTTTCATCTAAACTTTTGAGTTCATATGATGTGGCATAACATGTAGAATGTCATCATAGATTATAGTCCATGTAGGATGACATGTGGCAAAAAAAAATAATCAAAATTGAGAATAAATGGACAATATTTCGTATATTAATCCTACTTCAAAAACAAATTCACAATCAATACAAAACCTAAATCAAATTCTAAAAAATCCCTAATAATTTTCTCTTATCTATCCAATGAATAAAAACTTCTCTCTCTAACCACGAATCTTTAACTAGTAACTATTCCTCTCCCTCCAACCAAGAGCTTAAAATACATACTTAGGAATGATTTGCGGTATTTGACTAGACACTATTTGGTTTACTCTTTTATGAATTATAGCTATAGTTGGCCTCTTTTCTATCCTTAAAATGAAGATATTTGCACACCATTATTTCTAAAGGGAGATTATAGCAATCGGTAAGCGAAGAAGAGATAGACAGAAATGGCAACGAAACAGAACAATATATGTAAATAACAGATGTTGCTTGGTAATTAGCAAGCCCCAATCAGACAATTTGACGAGGGATAATTACTTGTACGAATCAAAGACTCCAACATATCATAGTTGAAGCTCTTCCTATATTGATCATAGTGTCTTGTTAATATAATTAGTTGTGAAGAAAAAACCAGTAGATATTTTACTTTTCCCAGCTGCCACACCATCATCCCTTTTCAGGTCAAGTCATTTGAAGCAAACATGACAAAGGTTTTGAACAATGATGATGGTGAAGGGTGCCTTCATGGTTGAGCAAGATTGGCTTACTTCTAAAATTCTTAATGGAATATGTTCCTGCAGTACTCTAGTTTGGCACGTAAGTAGAACTTCAGACGTTATCCTTTGTAGCTTCAATAGTTATTATTGGAATCGGTTAAGTCGAAGTCATTTTATTTACAATGGATGCCAAGGTACAAATTTTTTGCTTATGTAACTCTCAAGAGATTCAGATAATCTATTGGTGAACCTCCTGAGAGTATTTTTCTTGCCGTTTGAAATCGTAATCAGTTATATATTTGTTTATTTTAATAGACAATGTGGAGAAGTGCTTAGATCCTAGGACCTATAGCTGTCTTTTGCTCTGTATGAGCAATGCAGAAGGCTATAATTGCTCGTGTCTTACTAGATATTATCAAAATTATAACCAATGCTACCAACTCAGATCAGAAACCAAAAAACCTAGAGCTATCATCATCATCCTAGGACTTATGGGCTTGAATGGAAGAAACTTGACTCTACGTATATGGGTTTCGCACGATGTGGATCTGTTCTTGGATTACCGTTACTCTTCATCAGTACATGGTGGATGTACAAGTTTATAAAAAAGGAAAGGTGATTAAGGTCAAGCAGATGTTTTTTCTTGAGACAGTTTGATGTGCCCAAGTTAGGGTATGGATTACTTGTAGTGATCTAAGGCTGGTTCTATTTAGTTTAAAGGTAAAAATAAGATATTAGGATAAGAAACTCTTCAAGTTGAATTGATATTATACACAATTCAGTAAGAAAAGGCTGAATCGCCATGCTGAAGGAATGTGAGTGATAAGATTTTAGATTGTTTGCCATTAGACTAACTAGATAAGAACTTTGATAATTAAGAAATAAATCTCTGAAATAATTCTGTATTAGTCATCATCCCTTCAAATAAAGGAACGAGCCTCCTTTAAATAGCTGAAACACTTTCTTAATTTATAACTAAATTGTAGCTAGATCCTTATTTAAAACCTAATTTAAATGAAAATGCATTAAACAGAATATGAAAACTAATTAGCAAAATAAAGTCTGAAATGAAGAAACAAATCCGTAATTAGATGAGTTGATAAAGAAACAAATTGGCCATTAAAGCTGAGTTGATCGAATCCTTTCAAGATAATCCCACGAGATTCTACTCCTCCATGCAAGCTCTATTCTACTCCTCCATGCAAGCTCTAGCTAACAAACAAGTCATCCAACTTGACCCAAGCACCTCAAAACAATCAGAATTAGACTGCATCACAGGGCAAGGTAGACTTGAAGCTTTCTTGCACGAGCTCTTATTATTGGACCTACGTTCTTGTATATGTCATCATTTTGCATGTCATACAAACCATGATGCTCATCAAAGTTGTTGTTAGATGTGCTTGAAAATTGAAATGGGTACTGGTTAAAGATTCATTATTGGAGAGGGAAGAGTACTTGTTCGTTTGGGCAGAAAAGGATTATGGATTTTTTAAAATTTGATATAGGGTTTTGTATTGATTGTGAATTTTTTTTTTTTTTTTTTTGAAATAAGATTAGCGAGCAACATGTCATCTATTTATTCTCAATTTTAATTTTTTAGCCATATGTCATCTTATATGGACTGAAATCTAAAATAACCTCCTACCTGTCATTCTACATCATATGAATTTGAAATTTTGAATGAAAAATGGTTACCAAAAGCCTAATTAATATATTTTTTATTCACTTTTAAAAGAACATGCCAAAATGATTAGAAGTTGCAAAGTTCATGATTTTATGATACAATGAGCTAAAAATAATTTTTTTTTATATATATAGCGTTGTTATTTAACAAATAACAATATTATAAAATAATAATGCCATTATTCATTATTATTTACATGAAACGTAGAATAACAATAATACTGCGAATAACAATAATAAGTAAATTTATAGTAAATAAAAATAATAAGTAAATTCGATTATGTTAAATAACAAGTGTTGCGTAAGTGTCATTATTTGAAACTAAGGTAGCATGGGATTAACAATTAACAAAAAAAAGCTGAAGTAAAACGATTCACTCATTTTGTCAAAAGACTATTCACCTAGATTCATCTGAACTATTTCTTTCACTATGTAATGACATTTTCAAGATTTTCAATTTTTTTTTTATGCAAATTTAACATTTAACATTGTGTTCCATTTTGATCCTTATGTTTTCAAAAGATATTTTTGGTCCTTAAATGGAACAAGCACACATGCTTGCTTTTTTTTTTTTTTTTTTTCTTTGCTTTGGCTTTTTGTTTTTTCCTCTCGCCATTTATTTTAATTTTTTTATCATTGAATTGTATGCAAAAAATATGAAAAACTAATTATTATTTATTTTGGTCCCTAGATGGACTAAGCACACATGTTTGCCTTTTTTTTTGGCAATTTATTTATTTATTTATTATTATTATTAAATTGGACGCAAAAATTATGAAAAAAAATTATATATATATATATATATTTTGGTGTTATTTATGTAGATGCATAGTTAATTTGATGAAACATTTCATTAGAAACGATAAATTGAAAAATTAATTTTAAACTACAAGAGTAATATATATATATATTACTCTTGTAGTTTAAAATTAATTTTTCAATTTATCGTTTCTAATGAAATGTTTCATCAAATTAACTATGCATCTACATAAATAACACCAACTATTAGTTAATATATGTTTTTAATATTTTAGATGAACTATCTAATAATTCAAATATAATTTTTTATACTAATATTATTGATTATTTTCTAAATAAATATATATAAATCAAATGTATATATTTTTAAAAAGATATTCTTCTCATTAGTATTAAACAAGAGTAAAAAAGATTCATTTGTTAATCTTTATACAACTTTTTATATTAATTTTTGATTTATTTCTTCTACACAATCTTATGAAAACAATTTCAAGATGTTTTTAAAATTTTATATTTATATTATTACATATTTTTATTTAAGAAAGAATGTATAAAAAAGAACAAATCGTGTTTTTTTAACTACAAAATTCATGAAAAACATAAAAAGATAAGTTAAATAAAAATATTTGATTAAAAATTATGAAATTAATTTGATAAATTTTTTAAAAGTAGTAGTAAATGTTTGATGTTATTTATGTAGATGCATAATTAATTTTTAATAAACTCAACAATCTCACTTTATCTATATATATATTACTATACATAGTGGGTGATGTACACATAAATTGATTTTTTTTAATAAAAAATTAAGTTTTAATGAATATATTGAAGTTAATAAACTATAATAAAAATAATTATAAAATTAATTTTGATATATTTTAATTATATAAAAAATATGCAAATAAAACATGTGAACTCTATTTTTTAATTGATTATTTATTGAAAAACCTTATTTGAAAATTCGTACATTGAAAAAAAATAAATCATGCTTTTTAACAAATCAAATTATATAAAAAAGAATAAAAAATTAATTTGATGAGAGTTTTCGTAAGAAACAACAAACTAAAGAGATCAATTTTAAATAATAAGAATCGTTTTTTTAACTATAAAATCTATAAAAAAAAATAAATTAAATACAATTTTTTGATATAAAATTATAAAATTAGATAATTTTTTATTTTTAATTGATTAACAATATAATATATACTGTCGAAGTGAAAAAAAATATGTTCCACGCGCTACGCTGCACTAGAAACTGGCTAGTTTTGAAACCATGTTAAGGTAGCGTGGGAATTTTCAAGACGAGAAATGATTAGATGGACTTTGTCGTGTACTCTTCTTTCTTACAAGTCACGTAAACATTGGATTATCGTAAAAACTATCTATCTATTTCTTCTTTTTATGTGAAAAAGTGGAGTGCAGTAGTACAAAGCAGTGAAGCACCGAATAATTCTTCTTTGGAAACCAGACGAGTGACAAGAAAAACAGATAATTTGAGTTCAAAATGAAAAATACAAAAACTGATTTTATACGAAGAGTGTAACTTGACACTTTTTTTTAGAGAGAACTCAAAAGGCGAAAAGGCTTCCTATCAAGGGAATCTAATGGGGTCAATTGACATTACCATGGTATTAGATGCCTCCTCCTCCGTACTTGCAAGTGCTGTTTTCAAGACTTCTCGACAATCCGAAGAACACAAACCTTGGAAAGAAGACATCAAAAGAAATTACTGCCTTTTGAGTTAGATCGGTAATGAAAATGGAGGAAGGCATGCATCTGATTGATGGAAATGGCAAGTTCAACGTGGAAGGACTCAAAGACTTCATGACAACCACTGGGTTTGCCCAGTGCCGTCTCTCCTATGCTATTGTTGCCATCATTGGCGCGCAAAGTAGCGGTTTGTTTGTGTTCTTGCAGTTCTTACTTCTAACTGAGTAGTGATCCTTTGTTTATGTTTATGTGCAGTTGATTAAATTCTACTAGTTACTTTTTATTATGTGAAGTTGATTAGAAATGATCTCTCTGAAAACTTCACAGCTAAAATGATGGTTGGGTTTAGTTGCTGCAGAATTGAACTGGTTGGAATCTGAGTTCTGTTCTGCTCTGTTTTTCGCAAAATTATGGGTTTTGGGTCTTTCGGTCTATTGATGCTCGAATAACATCAATGATCAAACATGTTCCTTTATTTATTTATTTATTTTTTTTGAGGTACATTTGACGTTGACAATAAGCAGAGTTAGAGCCTGAAGTCTGTTGCCCACACACATATGATTTGATTCGCATTCTTTGTGAACAGGGAAGAGCACCCTGATGAATCATGTCTTTGGTACCGATTTCAAGATGCTGGATGCATGCGAAGGAAGGTTTAATATTTTTGGTTTTTTCAATTTTATAGTTTTAGAAGGGTGAATTTTTGTATTTCTAATTCTCTGTTGCTTTGTATACATGAAAACAATCTTATTATATTTGTTTCAGAGGTCAAACAACTAAGGGCATTTGGATTGCTAAAAGTAATAATATTGAGCCATTCACAATTGCCATGGATTTTGAGGGAACTGACAGCAATGCAAGAGCCGAGGTACTTGAGAGCTTTGTATTGGTACTCTTATTGAAGCTTAGCTTTGATGATAGTTGCTTGTTACATTTGGTGCTTGATAACTATCCTTTTTTGTTTATGAGAAATCGACAGATCTTTCTTATGCTTTTGACCTAGTCTATTCTATTTCTAAACTTTTAATTGCATCAACTGTGTCATTAAACTTAGTGAAATCTGCAATAAAGCCCTTTGTTGTTGAAATTTGTTTAAGTTAATATATGGGAGCCAACCCATGTTTTGCCTCTTAAATGACTCTGTAGTTTCACATCTCACCATCTCAAATCATGTGTGCAATGCTAACAGAAGGATCTATTGGAAATTTACTGTCGTTATAATTTATTAATGTCTCTATGTTTTGATGGTTGCACTTCATTCTTTTCAACTCCTGTGATATTCGAAACTGAGTTGCAATCTCCAAAATTTTGTGATTTTTGTGTACTGCTGAGGCAAAACATTACTGAATGGTCTCAATTCCTTTTGGTTTTATTGCGTACTGTATGGTTTCAAGCTGTGAATGCGATGCTTATATTAGGCCAGATGAATTTAATAAGAATTTGTTTTGCATACTTATTGAACTCATACCATGCAAAGTTTTTGGCATTACTTGTAATCTGAGATATGTGCTGTTTCAGGACAACACTGCATTTGAGAGACAAAGTACCCTGTTTGCTTTGGCAATTGCTGACATTATATTGATAAACATGTGAGTTAGATTCCTTTTCTGCCAGACATATTTGATTAATGTTCACATTGGGGAATAGTCAGGGGTGGCTATGTCTGGCTTAGCCTAGACAATCATTGCCCCTTATACATGCAGTCTAACTATTTTACGTTATTTGCATGTTTTACACAGTAATAGTTATTGATCTACTGTCATAGCCCTACGTCTACCTTTGGCACAAAAAAAAAAAAAAAACACTATTTTTGTAGCCTTCCATGATTTGGAGGTTCATATGGCGGTCCCATTGCCTTTTTGTGGCTTGAAATAATTTCTTTAGGCATTCTTGGCTAATTGCGTATTTGTATTATTCAATGAAGTTATCCAGCAGGGTTATGGTCTATTAAACATATTTCTGTTTCTTGTTTGATTTCCGAATGGCGGGGAAAATACATCTGATTTTGTTACAAGATAATCAGATGAAGACGATGCATATATTTCAACTTATCAACAGGTTGTCTGTCCAGCCAGAAAAAAGACAAAAAAAGATAGCTGTTTCCATATTTTGAACTTTTAGATAATTTTTGTCCTTCATGTTGGATATATTATGCCTTAACACAAATAAGATACCTTCTAAACTCAGTGTAGAATTTAGAGCTTTCAAATGGAGACATGAAGCAAAAGTTTTTTAAGATAAGGCATGCCCTTTCATGCATGCACACAGGTCAATTAGTAAGATTCAACAAATCTTTATGTCAAATATCATATACAGGTGGTGCAAAGACATCGGTCTGGAAAATGCAGCCAGCAGACCTCTTTTGAAAATAGTTTTCCAGGTACTTCACGGTGAAAAGCATTCTGCATAAATGATTGGCATAAAGTTAATACATCATGAATCAATTCCTTTGAAGTCTTGTTTGGAATTAATTGTAGTTGATTTGTTAGCTGTTTTTTCTCAACCTTAAAGTGCTTATGATGCAAGTATTGAGCTTTACGAACATACCACTAGAAGAAGTTAAAAACCGATTTAGATATGTCAGTTTATAAGGGCTATATATCTATTTAGAGGAATATGTAGTCACACAGGCATGAATAATGACAACCTTTTCCATATCCAGTTTAGATGCCAATATATCATGCCTGAATAAAGAGTCTCCTCTTCCATATTCATTATTAACGTGCTACATTTTATAATAACTGTCTAGCTGCATTCATTGAGCCCTGTGTGATATATCGCACCCAACATTATTTGGTAGCGAAGGTGACACTCCAACCATTGGCTATGGTGAACATGCCACATCTTGCGTTCATATATTATATGTGAGAAACTATTGTCTGTCTTGTATTCAGGTCATGAAGCGTTTATTCAAACCCCGTAAAAGAACATTGCTGTTTGTTATACGTGATCACACGAAGGTATGGAATTTTTTCCCTCTAAAGTAGAACCCGAGCACCTTGTGTTCTGTTCTCTGAATGAATCTTTTTGTCCAATAATGAATCTACGCCCCCTTTCTGATTGTCCATGTAGACTCCACTTGGATATTTGGAGCGTGTTCTCAGGGAAGATATAGACAAGGTACTTTTGTGCATATTATTTATACTCTGTTTATGCCTTTCTCTGTTAGGGTCAATTGTTTGTTTCTTCCAGCATTTTCAGAAGTCATTATTTCTGCAGATATGGGCTGCAGTTGCTGAACCTGAGACTCATGGAAGTGCTTCTCTCAGTGATTTTTTTAATGTACATAAGATATCATCTCCATCTCCTGTATTCATGCCATTGGCATGTATGCTTCATATGTTACTATTTTATTTAATTGGCATATAACTTAATTTGCTTCTAATAATTGGCATGAAGGTGGAGATCACTGCTTTGTCTAGCTATGAATTCGAAGAGGAGAAGTTTAAAGAGCAGGTAGCCTTTACACTAAGAATATCAATTTATGAATCCTCAAACTTAAGTTCATCATTTGTGCTCTTCTGGAGTTTGCTTTGGCAATTTTTCTAGAATTAAAGTGGTGGAGGATTTCTAGCGTGTGTATGTTCTGCAAATGATTTGGAAGTGAAAATCAGTGGTGTTCATCTTAATTGTGGAATATCTGTGGCAAGCAAGGAAAGCAGGATGTGACATCCTCCCATGAGATGGGTGAAACTTCCCCAAAAGGAATGATTGAAGCAATATGTATTAGACTTAGAAAGAGAAACAATGAAGTTTAAGAGAGATTGTGTTAGAAAAGATGCAGCTACGAGGACAGGTTCAGTTGGGACGGACTGTCCTGCTTCAAGTTCACTAATCCATCTCTTTAATTCATCTTGTTGATTTAGAAGTTAATTGCAAATTCTATAACTAATCAATAAAAACTTTTATGCACATTAGACTTGATATCAAACTACTTGATCTCTGCATACCGCGCATATTGTGCTTTGACTGTTGTGGTTACCCACCCAATCCATGCAAAATGAAGTAATATAGAGTGATTTATAGATACTAGGAGCGTATCACATGGTGATGACAAAATGACCATTAAGTCATATTACAAGTAAGGTAAATACATGCCTCAGATGAGGACTCAAGAATCTATAATCCTTAACTGCTTTTTTTTTTCTGACAGCAGTGACTCTTACAAATTTGTATTACAGGCTTGTAGCCCATTATGATATGTTGTACAGGTTGCTTATCTAAGGCAGCGGTTCATTACTCCAAGAGTTACTGGTGATAGGTGGGAAGTTGAACCTGCCTCAGGATTTTCGATCCGTGCAGAGAAGACATGGAAAACTATAAAAGATAACAAGGATCTAGATCTCCCTGCTCTTAAGGTTTATAAAAGCCTTTTTTTTGTGCCAATATAACATTCAGGGTTTCAAGCTAATATATTTGTCCATTTTGTTTTTCAGGTGATGGTTGCTGTTGTTCGTTGTGAAGAGATTGCTGAGGAAAAGCTCAAGCAATTTACTTCTGATAATGTACCTAATTGAACCTAACATCTCATTTTTACTTTCTTCCTTTGATAGTTACTTCAACTTCTGAATATCAGACAATACTAAATTGATTCCTTACAGGATTGGTTGGCACTGAAGGAAGCTGTTCAAGCTGGTCCTGTATCTGGGTTTGGAGCAACCCTCAGTTCTATATTGGAAACCTATCTTTCACAGTAAGTGTTGTCAGTTCTCTATGATGACATGTTACCTTATCTTGTAAGATATGTTTGATATTCAATGTTCTGCCAAGGTTCAAAGTTCTAAGCCAGCTTATTGTTCAATGTTCATCCAAAATCTGTGTGGTATTCTACTTGATTTCCTCAATTGTTAGCGCTGTTTGGCTACAGTCTTGTAGTGTGCTTCTTGTTCAACTTGATTCAGAATCTCTTAATTTGTATGTATATTTTTTTAATAGTTATGACAAGGAGGTGATATATTTTGATAAAGATGTACGAAATGCAAAACGGCACCAAATGGAGTCCCAAGCATTGGAGGTATGGCCTAATTGTGTATATTTCCTCTTTTTTCATTTCTTAACCTCTCTTTTCTCTCCTTTCTTTTCTCCATTAGGAAAAGTTTCTCATTTGATCTTGGATATATGTTCTAGTGATGTGAACTTGGTTTTTGTTTCTTTTGCTTCTGAAAATAGGTGGCTACCCTCATGTTATTTACATTTGTAGATTTTACTGGCTTCTCTCTCTCTCTCTCTCTCTACAACTACCCTCTAGAAAAGCTAGTATCTTTAAAAACCAGTAAACTTCAAGACAACTTTGTTGGATAGGATACCTTTCCTTTCCTCTTTGTTGTCATCCGCTGGGTGCTTTTACAAGGAGTTACCTTAGATGAAATTCAACAGCGAATCCTTTTACGATTTTCTTTTTCCTTTGGTGGATATCTTATTCTCCATATTCTTTTGCACTTTCTTTTAGTGACTTGGTGCAATTTTCTCTTGTCCAAAAATTAAATATTTTTAGGTGGTACGCGATGCTTATGTTACGATGTTGGAACATTTGTATTTCAACAAACTTGAAAGTTTTAAAACTAGGCTGGAACAGCACTTACTGAACAAACGAGAAGGATCTGTTGCTTCTGCTCATATCTGTGCTCAATCTTGCTTGGTTGAATTTGATCAAGGATGTGAAGGTATGTAGACTCCAACTAGTGAAAATATATATATTATTTTTTTTTAATTCTTACCTTCAATATTTTCTAATCCAATTTCATCTCCAATGGATAAAACTAACAGGTTGTTTTGGACTCCGGTGACTCTTTTATTTACTTTTTTTTAAAAAAAAAGATTTTCTTGATCTTCTTAATATTTTAAATCTTCAATATGGTTTCAATTCTAAATATCTTTTTCGAGAAGTAAATAGAGAATAAACAGACTTTTCTTGTGATAGTATAGGAATCATAAGACAGAAGATCATCTCTGTGGAAATAATCCGAATTGGGTGTCATTGTTGCTTGTATGATTTTGGTTAGGGTCTTTCCAACTAGTCCTCTCTATTCGACCTATCCTAACTGTCAAGCTCAACAACTTGACTGCTGGATACAATCTATACGTGTGTGTTTTTCTAGAATATTTTTAGAATATTTGGTGAGTTACCTTTATCATGCTTTTTCAGATGCTGCCATTAGACAGAGTGAGTGGAATGCTTCAAAACTCCGGGAAAAACTTTGTTGTGATATGCTGTCAGAAATGATGGCAAAATATGAGGTAATTTCCTTGGTTGATATTAATAATCCATTAGTGTTCTTAAAAGTAAACGTATCACTATACTCAATCAAATAACCAAATATTATTGTGTTATTCCTACGCAGAAGCAACTCACTGATGTGCTTGCTGATGAAGTACAATCCTTATTTGAAGCTGGTGAAACAGATACATGGGGATTAGTTAGAAATCTTCTTAAGAGCAAGACTGATGTTGCTGTGTCAGAGTTTTCAGATGCTGTTGTTAGTTTTGATTTGCAAAAATCTGCAATTGACACTAAATTGCAACATTTGAGGGAGTATGCAAGAAATGTAGTCGAGAGAAAGGCAAGAGAAGCAGCTGCTGCAGATAGAGTTTTGATGCGCATGAAGGATAGGTGGATTGCTATCTTAATTGTCGTTTTTGTTTTTTCTTTCAATTGTTTTCTTTTTCTTCATTAAAGCTTTGGATTGTATCCCAGGTTCATACAGGTTCTCAATTGTGATGAAAACTCAAAGTCAAGGGTTTGGACGAGGGAAGAAAACATTGATGAAATTGAAAGGAATGCACACTCTGCGGTAATATGCCTACATTTTGTACTGATTGACTGCTAGCATTTTAAATTGTTTGTACTTTTGAGTAATATGCATCTAAATGTTTCCCAGTTATTTTGTTGCAGTCTTTGAAAATTTTATCAATCATGGCAGCCATACGCTTAGATAACATGACAGATCAGATTAACCATGTACTCTTTTCTTCTCTCATGGATGGAACTGGTGCTGTTCCATCTTCTCAACATACAGGAGCTACCGCTGACCCCCTTGCCTCTTACACATGGGAAGAGGTAATAGTTTGTTTATATTGGTGTGTACAACTCACTATATATATATTTATCTATTCAAAATATGCACACAAACAGATACATGTGTCTGTCAAACTGGTTTCTGAATAGAATCAAATATGGGGCAGGTTTCTGCAAACGCTACGCTGCTTACACCAGTGGAGTGCAAGTCATTGTGGATGCAATTCAAAGCAGACACAAAGTATATAACGAACCAGGGTAGAGCCGCTCAGGTACCTTATCATATATTGCTTTATATTTTTATTTTGCCCTTGTTTCTTAGAACATTTTCAGTTTATGCGAATAAGTTTCCTATGCTTTCTTAACTTCGGAACATAAACTATATCTATATGGCATACACCTGCAGAGTTTTTCACAAGTTTATAACAGGGTTTATGTGACAGTTGAAGTTTCTCATGTCTTGGAATCTGACTAGCACTCTTGCATGTCATACTTATTTTTCTTCAGGAGGGTCTTAGGCATGCTAAAAGGGCAATTAAGATAGTGGTCAGGGTAGTGGCGATAGTGGGGGCAGCTGTGGCAGCGGCAGTGGGGACACCTACAGCCATGAGGATAGCTGCAAGTACGGAGGTGGCTGCAGTGATGAAAGCTGTAGCGCCAGAGTTGGCAGCTGTGATGAAAGATTTAGTACCGGAGGTGTTGGCAGCACTGAAAGATGCAGGGCCGGAAGTGTTGGCAGCATTGAAAGATATAGTGGTTGAGGCAGTGAGATCTTTAGGACCACAAGTAGTGACAGCGGTAATTGCGCTGATGATGAATGTGTTTGCAAGGCCGCAACAGCTATAGGTGTGCAGTTCTTCGGTAATAACAAGCATGGTTGATATTTGTACCTGATCTTAATATTGCAGCATGCTATGGTGAATCTTATAAAAGAAATCTATAATTTGATTAGCCCCATTGAATTTATTTTTTTCTTTTTTGATAGCTAACATGAATCAACAATACATAAAAGATGATAAACCGGGTACGTTGTTTTGGATAATAGAAGCAATGGAGCTACGAAAATCCTCCCTCAAAATACTTTCATAATCAATTAAGCCTAGCTAAGTTGGCAAGAGCGGGCATTGCTTTGTTATTGTTGCTTCTAGTAAATCTGCAATCAAAGAAAGAGAAATAAGGCAGTAGGCAAAGTATATCTCCAGTTAGCAGAAGCTGTCATCTTCAATGCCTTAGGAAATGACCTGTTAGAGATGCTTGCGGTCTGTTTCCATGATTAAGAGATTAAAACCAGCATTACACGCAATCTGAATACCAAATTGAGCAGCTTGAATTTTGCCAGGGAGAATTGAATTTTGTGGTCAATCTTTATAGGAGCAGAAATCATAACCTCCTTGTGAATTTTGAATAATGATGCCTAGACTACATCCCTCGTTGTTACCATGTGAATTCCAGATAATGATGCCTAGACCACATCCCTCAATGTGTAGAGAAGCATCAGTATCAAGTTTGGAACATCCATGCCTAGGAGGCTAGGACACATGGCTGCGAGAGGCATGCAAACTTTGGCAGCGTAAGATAGAAAACAATTCCAGTAAGAAAAATAGAATAGAAAGACAAGAACAATCATATAATAGATAGATTTATGTGGTTTGATAATTGTGCCTATTCTAAAGTTGTATTAGGATTTCTTATTAGGTTTTATCAAGTGGCGGCTTACAAATACAAATGATATTGTCTATATTTATAGTGTGGACAGCTAGGGTTATAATAAAAAGGTCCAACAGTGCCTATGCACCACCGTGTGCATAGCGTCCTATACCTGCAAGCCCTAATCTACTTCAATCTCCACAATTTAATTATCTCCCACTTGGATACCGATCTCCAAATAGTATCAAAAACCTCTTGTATCCGTCCATTTTCTCAACCAATTTCAAGTCCTCCCGATGCAATGCCTTTTTATCATTAATTGTCAAGGGCAACCGAGGCAATGTTAAACCTCAACTTATCAATGGTAATTATTTTGGTTAACATATCAATTGAATTCTCCAATCCTAGAATTTTGTTCAAATATATTACCCTATCATCCAACAATTCTCGAATATAGTGATACTTCAACCGGATATGTTTGGTTCTTGCATGAAACACTAGATTCTTAACAAGGTGAATTGCACTCTAACTATTACCGAAAAGCTCACTCGTCATCTTATTTGTGACGCCCCGGCTTCCTTACCTATTACCTAACAGGCGTGACCGGCGCGACACACTCGTTGGGACTAAGTCCCCTACTTCCTTCATCGTACACAACGTAAACTAAACCATGGGAAACGCATAATATAATTTACAACATTATTACGGATAATTCCATAATTTAAAACATATTCAAAATGCCTAAAAATTTTCAGCCTAGGCTCGTACCCCTTTTTATTGACACAAAAGATATTCTCATTTTTATGAGTGACACATGAGCCTCTTTTAACGAGAACCGGTAGCATCCTCGATCGACTTAACTTTGCCCTTGCCCGAACAACACACAAATACAATAACGGAATGAGCCAAAGCTCGGTAAGTAGGGTGATGCACGTGATATGCGAGTGCTATTGTGTTTTCCATATTTTCATCCATTTTAATCCGGTACCCTAGGTATATGCAAGTCCGTGCGCCCAATCTCTCGGTGATCGTGTTATCACCTATCGCTCTATTACTTTCTCTCGGTGATCTCAATATCACTTACTCGCTCGCAACGGAATTATCCCTCGTTGTAGCACACGGTTAACGGAATTATCCCTCGTTTAACGAGTGTTAGTAAATAGAGCTCGCACTATGGATTCCTTGCTATTACCCAATCCACTCAATTCGGTTACCAAACCATGTCAATTCAAGACTCAATGATTTTTCTCAATTTATTTCCACCCCCAATGCACATGATGCACATGATGACATGTTTAATCACATTCAACAAAACTCGGGTACCAGCCCTTCTTTCTCAAGCCATACTCACGGTCTAACAATCACTCGGGATTCACTCGGCGCTCACATACCAATTATGGTACTCATAGCGGGAACACAACATCCGCTCATTAATATTGTTTATTAGTTTTATTAATAATTAAAGAAGGTCCAATTCTCTTTTTTTTTTTTTTCCTCTATGAAAGAATAAATTTTCTTTAAAATTTTAAAATCATTTTTATTTCTATTTAAGTCTACTTATTTTAGCCTAAGCCCATTTTCGTTAGTCTAAGCCCATCTACTTTAAAACCAAGCCTTTTGATTTTAGTCCAAGTCCATTTCCAAGTTTATTTTATTTAAGTCCAAGCCCATTAACATTAATCCAAGCCCAAGTCCATTTGTTTTAATCTAAGTCCATTTTATTTTTAAATCCAAGCCCATCTCATTTTAACTCAAGTCCAAGCCCATTTATTTTAGGTTAAAATTTTCCAGCAGTGGCACACTTAAATAACCTATACCAAACCAGCCATAACTCCTTAAATACATATCTAAAACTCACGAAATTTTAAGGGGAGATATTAGACATATAGATCAACAACTTTCATGTTTTAAGTTTCCTCCAAAAATTATTCTAAAATCCTTAAATAATTCACACAAGTTTCGGAACTAAATAAACTTTTCCAGTAGCTGGTCCATTCAACGACCCATACCAAATCAGTCATAAATCCTTACATACAGATCTAAAAATCATGAAATTTTAGATACATAAAGTAGACACATAGATGAACAACGTTTCTTCTTTGAGTTCTGCCCAAAAACCACTTTATTATCCCGAAATAAATCGCACAACTTTCGAAATGAAATATTTTTTCAGTAGAGGTTCCATCCGAACGATCCATACCAATTCAGTCATAACTCCATATATATACCTCTAAAAGTCACGAAATTTTAAAGGAACATAGTAGACACATATATCAACAACTTTCATTCTTTGTATTGTTTCTAAAAATCACTCTAAGATTCCGAAATAAATCACACCAAGTTCTAGTTTTTCCACCCCTAAAATCCGAAAATCTTCTCTTAAAGCACATTTCTCAACATACATGCTTAACCATCCATCATCAAACATCAAGCGTTTAAAATCATCACAAATACCATAATCACATTTCACATGAATTAAATAACTCATAAAATAAACATGGAAAGCATAAACAAAGCAAGAAAAAAAAAATGAAACCTACTTACATTGGATTAACTTTCCTAAAATCTCTTTTGCTTCCTTTTAGTTTCCCCTTCTTTTTCCTTCCCTTTTTTCCTCTTTCTCCCCTCTCTTTGACTCTTTCTTTCTTGGTTTTAAGGCAGCTACGGGATGCACCAAAATGCATCCTTATCCCATTTTTTCTTACTTAAATATCTCACATAATCTCATCCATTCAAGTGTTCATTACAAGTGTCAAAAGCTTATGGTGAAATGCAAGGTAAATGTGGCTGAAATTAATGAAATGATGGGTGTAAATTTCAAGTAAGAAGAGGTGATGGTCAATGAAAATTTGTAAAAACTAGGGGCCAAAATGTGATTAAATGAGGGTAATTAAATTAACTACATTTTCAGAATTCCTCCCGAATTTCGGCAATTAGCACTTTCTCTCTCTTTTTTTTTTAATTTATACTTATTCCATATAAAAGAAATTTTCTAACTAATTTACCCAACATTTTATATATATATATATATATATATATATATATATATATATATATATATATATATATATATATATATATATATATATGACGTACACCCGTTACTCTCAACAAATACGTACATACCACATATTCCAAGTACATATGTTGACTTGGTTACAGATTTTCACGTACGTAACCGATCTACTATATATGTATATACGTACGAATATAAATATCTCGATACGTACATTTATACGAATACAAATTTTACGAGGTTAAATTATTCCTTACCCACTTCTTTCATGAAGTTCTTCAATCAAACCATCTTTTTACCAACTTTCGCAATAGCCATATACTCAGCTTCAATGGTAAAAAAAAACAATACACTTTTAAAGTCAAAACACCCAACTTGTAGCATTTCCATCCAAAGTGAAGACATAATCCGGTGTACTCTTTCCGTTGTCCATATCACCATATAAGTTTGCATCAACAAATCTTGGTAAAATAATATTATTTTTCTTAAAACAAAGGACCATACCCGAAGTATCTTTTAGATAACAAAAAATCCACTTTACTCATTCTCAATGCTTCTATCCCAAATTTGCCATGTATCTATAAACAACTCCTACTACATGAGCTATATTAGATCTAACACGATACAATAGCATGTATTAGGCTTTCAACTGTCAATGCATATAAGACTATAGATATTTCTTTTTGTTCTTCAACGTTTTTGGTGATTGCTTTTTTGAAAGCTTGAGATAGCTTTCCCAAATGAGTGTTTCTAATTTTTTTCGTCTTGAAGGTTGAATTTGCTAAGCACTTTTTGTAGGTCCTAAGTCCTTCATCTCAAATTGTTTTACTAACATTGCTTGAGCTTATTGATCTCTTTTAAGTTAGATCCCGCAACAAGTATATCATCAACATACAAGAGCAAAATAAGATAACAATCATCAAACCTCTTGATATAACAACAGTGATCCATCTTGCATCTACCGAAAACATTGTCACTCATGAACCCATCAAATTTCTTATACCATTGCCTCGCAGCTTGCTTCAAACCATATAAAATTTTTTACAACTTGCACACTAGTTTTCCTTTTTTAGAACTTTAAAGCCTTCTGGTTGTACCATGTAGATGTTTTCCTTAAGGTCACTATGTAAGAAAATAGTTTTTATAACTAACTACTCTAGATGAAGATTTTTTGCTACAATAA